AACGGTGGGAGTCAGGGCTTGGGTGGGGTGGGGAAGAATTAGTGTTTTTTTGTTTTGTTTTGTTTTTTTAATCCTCATCCAAGGATATGTTTTTCATTGGTTTTAGAGAGGGAGAGACAGAAAAAAGTATTGATGTGAGAAACATTTGTCAGTGGCCTCTGATCAGATCTTAAACCCACAGTGCCCTGTCGGGTAATCAAACCTGTGACCCTTTGGTGCACAGGACAATGTCCAACTAACTGAGCCACACCAGCCAGGGCAGGAAGATAGTGTTTTTGGTAGACTGAGTTCCAGTTTTGGAAAATGAGAAAGTCCTAGAGATGGTGGGAATGGATGCAAAACAACGTGAAGGTACTTAATGCCACTGAGCTGTGCACTGAAAAATGGTTAAAAATGGCAAATTTGCTGTGCATTTTGCTACAGAAAAACAAACAAACAAACAAAAAAAACAAAACAAAAAAAAAACTAGTCCAGCCAGTGTGGCTGAGCATTGACCTATGAACCAGGTTAAGGTTTGCTTCCTGGGCAGGCTCCATCCCCAGTGTGGGGCCTGCAGGAGGCAGCCAATCAATGATTCTCATTGATGTTTCTATCTATTGCCGCCGCACCCTTCCTCTCTGCAATCAACAAAAATACATTAAAAAACAAAAACAAAGACACGGCGAACACCGCGCCTGCCATGGCGGAGAAAATGGACATGTCTCTGAGCATCATTAATCTGAACCGGAGCGAGCGGGGGCTGCGGGGGCTGGGCCGAGGCCGGGCTGGCTTCCCGGAGGCCGCGGTGAGAGTGCGGGCCCATCGGAACCGGCCGGGGCCCTACAACCACCGGAAACAACTTCCTGACAAGTGGCAACAGGACCTTTTCGACAGCGGCTTTGGCGGTGGCGCCGGGTGGAGACGGGTGGGAAACGGCTGGTGTCCAACCTGCATTTCCGGTGCCCGACGCTGATCCCAGGAACTCTTTGTGGAATTCTGGCTCTGGAGGCTGCCGTGCACTAAGACCGTCCTGGCTGCAGCCTGGGAGCAGCGCATGCAGACGCCCTGGAAGCCAGGAAGCAGCACAGCGGAGCCCCTGCGGAGGCTGCCCCATGGACATGCAGCTCCTCCAGCCACGGACACACGCAGCGCAGTGTGAACAGGTGGGATTCCCGCCTAGAAACCGGGGATCTGGAGGTTTCGGCGGCGGCGGCACCGGAGAGGCGCCCGAGGAGGAGTTGGAAGCAGCAGGTCTCTGCGGAGGAGCTGGATGCCCAGCTGGACGCTGACCGCGCGAGGATGGACACCGGTTAAAGCACAGCAAGTCCGTGCTCGGAGCTGGCCTAGGCCCCAGCTGGGCCCTGAGGCCAATGATGAAGTTGTTTCTTCTGTTTTGAAATAGGATTTAAAACTCGTGTAAAGCCAAAGCCGGTTTGGCTCAGTGATAGAGCGTCCGTCTGCGGACTGAAAGGTCCCAGGTTCGATTCCGGTCAAGGGCATGTACCTTGGTTGCGGGCACATCCCCGGTAGGGGGTGTGCAAGAGGCAGCTGGTCGATGTTTCTCTCTCATCGGCACTTCTAGCTCTCTCTCTCCCTTCCTCTCTGTAAAAAATCAATAAAAATATATTTAAAAAAATAAAATAAAATAAAACTTGTGTAAAGATTTTTCTTTTCCTTTTGTATTTTTTTTCTGAAACAGTCCTGTTTTGTACCGAGTTATTTTTTGGGGTAAATTTTACTGGCTGCTGTTGTGGAGGAGGGGGCGTTTTCACCTTTGCCATAATAAACAGAAACAAGTGTAGGAAAAAAAACAAAAACACATATACAACCATGTACTACATAAATATGATGTGTTAACATACTGTACAATATTTCTTAAATTACTCTGCTGTGGTAAGAGTATTTACTTTAACATCAGATTATTCTGTGATGTCTTTTAAACTTTTTGGAAAAATACATCATTTGTAAAGAAACGTTGATTTGGGTTCAGCATAATATTGGTTTTTAATACTATGAATGTTGTTTTTCTTTTATTTTTAAGAGAAAGTAGGAGAAAATTACTTTGGAAGAAAATGGGCTTCTGTTTAAATGTTGAAATATATATATATGTTATGAATTTAAGGAGCCTACAATTACCTCTAAGTTTTACAGAACCACCTGCTTTTGGTGATTGTAAATAAACTCTCAAAACTTCCTTGAAAGGCTCCATACAGAATGTGTCAATTGACAGGAAAATTTAATAAATTAGTAATTAAATACATTTTACAATGTGGTCTCTTTAAGGGCAATTTCAGCAGTTAACTTGAAAGAAAAAAATGTGTACATAGGTAACATCACTTGCAGTGAAATAAAGCTCAGAGTTTGTGCTCACACACACACACAAAAAAAAAAAAAAATCCACAAAAATAACATATGTATATAGTAAGCTTCTTAGAAGACCCTCTAAGAAAATCACCAAAAATAAATATAATGAAAAGTCATTTTAAAAAAGACTTCTAGTATTTTGACTGCAAAAAAAACCCCCAACAAACCCAAAGCAAAACAAAACAAAAAAACATACAAAACACTAAGGGAGGCATAAAAGGCAAAAAAGACACATAACTTAGAAAACACAGTGAAATGGCGGAGGACAGCCCAAGCATATCAGTAACATAAATGCGAACTGGCTCCCAGCTCCGCCAAGAGGGTGCCTTCCTGGAAGAGGGAGCAGGTGTGGCAAGGTCCTGGGGTTTGGGATGACCTGGGTGAGAAGCAGAGCCTCCCGTCCCCTCCTGGCCTCCTCTTGCTTGTGGGGTAGGGCTTGGCTGGCACCAGTGGCTCTGCGGGAGCAGGCTGCCTGGTGGAAAGTCTTCAGGGAAGCTGAGAATCTCCTCAGCCATTCCACGATCCTGGGAGAAGAGCCAATCAAACTCCACCCAAAGGAGGGGATGGCCCTCCCTGTCCCGCAGGGACTATATCACTTGGCCCACAGGATCCCTTCTTTAGGGTGGGAAGGGGTGACACGGGCTCCTGAGAGCCCTCACTGGCTGGAAATCCCTGTTTGCACAATGCCCTTAGCCAGAGACCCAAAATTAAAAACCGAATGTTGCCAATTCATTTCAGTAATAAAAGGCGCAAAAGTTTATTAGCTGAGATGACCATGGAGTGATCTCAAGCCTGGCACACTGGAGGCATCAAACCATTTGGACAAATCTGCTTTTTTTTTGAATTTTAAAATCTTGATTGTGATCTTTAGAATGACAAAATAATGGCCCCCCAATGACATACTTTGAGACCATGTCAGACTCCTAATCTCTGGAACTGTGAGAAAATAAACATGTGTTGTTTTAAGCCAGTTTGTGGTGATTGGTCAGTGGCCACAGGACAGCCACACCCAGAACAATTGGTGACAGCTGTTTCCCAGGGGTCAGACTCCTAGGACCCAGGAACCTGTCCCCACTGTCCCACCTCTCCAAGAGGCCAGACTAGCCTCAGCCATGGGAGTCCAGCCTGCAAGCTCTGACTCACCTCTCTTCTCAGGGTTGCAAATAGGGGCTTCAATGACTGTCAAAGTCCTGTGTAACTGGGGTGAGGGACAGTCAAGAAAATGTCCAAAATATTGGAGGCTGGAAGGACTTTGCAAGCCAGGCCTATAGGTGTCCAATAGGAAGGGTAGTAGCCCTTGTAGGACGTCAGATCCCGTTCCAACTTCCTCGCCCCTGGGCTCTCAGCTCCCCTGCCTCCTACCCCCTCTCCCACTCAGCTCTAGGGTCCATGTGGACCTGGCCCAAGGGCTGTGAGCAAGCTGTCCTACTCCCGGCCCCAGCCCTGCCTCTGGGGCCATAATCAGTGTCCAAGCCAGCAGGCTTTGTCCCAAGGCCTTGACTGAATGCCCCGATGCCCACATCGCCCATGTGAACAGCCCCATTTGTGCAAAGGTTGAGTGGCCTTTCCAAAGACACAGTCCAGGTACCACTCTCAGGGAGGCCTGGCCAATCCCCAGCCAGAACTGTCTGTACGTCTTTGAACTGGCTATGAATTCTAGAACCTCACATGGGCATTGCAGCTCTCACCGGGCCCGTCTACCTGTTCTAAAACCCACATCTGCCAGAACACAGAGACTCCCAGGCCCACCGAGGTTGGGGCCAGCCCCCCATGAAGCAGGCCTCAAGTTTGCAAGACCACAGAGGAGCCAGGACAGATGCAGGTCCTCCTGTGGGCGGGTTCTTCCCCAGCAGGGAGGGAACAAATGACACAACATGGGTTCTAATCCAAACGCACTTCTCTTTATTCAAACCAGGGTCAAACTGGTCAGTGGGGATGCCCTGAAGCCACATGCGCGGGAAGTAGGCTGACAAGACCTCCTGGTCCTGATGCCGTGGGACGCGGGGTGGTTGCCAGCCAAGCCAGGCGGGTGAGCCCCCATGGTGCACTTGCAGACACCGCCAGGCAGATCAATCGACAAAAGCAAGGAATAAACAAAACGAAACACACTCAGTAGATTGCTTTTTTAAGCTCCAGAGTTTCTGGACCAACGAGTCCCAACCCTCAAAGCCAGGAGTACGGGGCCCAAAAATGCCCCTCACTTCCACCAGTGCCGACAGAAACCCTGTTTTAAATTAAAAAATAAGCCAGTATACATTGTAGAAAATTTATCTTAAAAATCTCACAATTTGTAAATGTATATTTTTTTCTTTAACATAAAAGTTTACAATATACGGTAAAACAAAAGGCTCAGGAAAATAATTTCAAAAAAAAAAAAAGGAAGAAAAAGAAACCTGAAGTTTTGAATTAAAGCTGAAGACTTTTTAAAACCCTGTTGTTGAACCAGTGACTTTTTTTTTATTGTGCTGATGGGTTAGAGAAAGAAATATATTTAAAAACTTCAGTTCAGTCACCCACAGCCGCCTCCAAAAGCCTCACGCCTGCCCCTCCCCCCAAGGTTGAATCGCGATTTTTCTGCCAAGTTTGTGATTGTCACGAGTTCACAAGTTTCGAATCCTGGGTCTCAGCCATCTAGCCGCCTGCGTGGCACCAGCTAGCTAGCGTCGGTAGGGGTGGAATCCTTGAACATTGTGGTTCTGACCTCGTCCGAAGCCACTTCCACCAGCAGGGGGGCCCCCGGAGCCTGGCACTGAGGGGCCCCCATAGGAGGGGGGCTGCTGGCTGGGGTCTGAGAAACCCTGCCCAAAGCCGGCCAAGTCCTGTCCATAACCTGCGGGGAAAGAGTGCAATGAGTGGCCGGGTAAGCTGGCCCCACCTGACAGCACTGGGCCCCCAGGAGCACGTGTCTCCAGAAAAGCCCGCCCTAAAACCCAGCAGGACCCTGTCTCCACACGGAAATAAGAGAGTCTGAGACCTCGAGGACCCGTGGTCTGTCCTGTCTGATCCTGGCCGACCCCCACCTGTCCCAAAGTCTTAGGGCGGGAGCCCTGGTGGCAGAGCTGAGGGTCAGGAGAGACCTTTGGGCTTGGAGACACACATCACCTGGCCCAGGTTGGCAGACCCTGGGTTCCTTGAAAGTCTGTTCTCGAGTACAATGCAGGGTGAGCTCAGGCATGACTTTCAGGATCTAAGGAAACAGCTAGTCTGCCCTAGCCTCCCTCCAGGATGCACCTCAGACCCCAGACGGTCCTCCCTCCAGAGTTGACCCAACCTGGAGGCTTCCATAACATGGGAGTGGGCAGGGACTACATGCGGACCATTAGGCTTCCATGACTCCAGTTGGCTGCACCTGCAGAGCCCATCTGGGTGGGGCAGGTCCCTCTCTAAAAAGGACCCTGACTCTGTACTACTGGCCTTCTGGACACTTCTGGAACGAGGGGCAGCACTGTCCTCGCTCCCTGCCCACCCGGACCACACACTTTGGACGAAGGCCATCCCAGGGCCCCCGGATTCCCAATTGGAGGCACACTCGGAGGCAGAGCTCCTGGGTGGTGTCCCAGAGGGCAGTGTGGTACCACCCGCCCGGGACAGCAGAGGAGGCAACGTCCGGTGCCCGGGTGCAGGCAGGTGAGGACCGTGCATGAGGAGGCGCCACCTACCTAGGCCATATCACTGCTCAGCCTGACCATAAGAGTGTAAACAAAGTATGGGCCCGAAGCCCGCCGGGTCTTGAGAATAGGTACCCAGGCCTGGCGAGAGACGAGACCAGGGTGACTACCCCAGGGTGGTAGGGAGGGGACACACTCGAGATCATGTACACCCCCACCCAGGGCCGCTCACATGTCTGCCGCCAACACGTCCTGTTCCAGGCAGGGTCGAGAACCCACGTGCTCAGTGACCACAGCCCTGCAAGGCCCCGAAGGGAACAAGAGTGTACGATGCAGGGGTTCTGGGGGGCATCTGGTCAGCTGGCGGGACTGCATTTGAGGATAAGAGTGGATTGACCTGCAGATATTGTGGTCTTGGGTGACACACAGTTCACACCACGACATGGAAAACCAGGGGGTGAAACTTTTATAGGAGATCTGAAGGCCCTGGCCCCTCATGGCAGGCAGGGGACTGACCCCGGTGTGGGGAGAGATCCAAGGCCACACCCTGTCCTCACAGGAGTTCCCCCACTCAGCTGTCACCTTGCAGACCCGATTCAGAAGCACCTCCTCCATGACCAGCCCCTCAAGTGAAGCACAAAGCCAACGCCAAAGCCGGTACCTGCCCCAGACCAGAGCAAGACCACCCAGCCGACATTCTTGCCTGCACCCTGCACTCGGATAGCCGAGGCACTGAAGGGACAAGCCTGCAGGGGAGTCCTCGGCCCAACAGCAATTGCAGCCCTCGCACCATCCTCCTAGGGGCCCAGCCATAGCCTCTTTTCCAAACCCTTAGGCCTGGGATCACCTACTGTGCAATCCATGCTTTTCTACGATTAGTGCCCCGGCAAAAACCCAAGCAACCAAAGTCTCGCTTGACGCTTGCTTGTTCCTAGGTCACGTGAACTCTCCAACAACTCCCATACCTCAGGCCACCCAACTCAGAAACACTGGTGGAAAATCCACCTGTGAGGGAGGAAGTCAGGGGGAAGCACGGCCACTCACCATACTGACTGTAGGGGAAGTCTGGCTGTGCCGTTGGGGGCTTGCTCATATCCGGGGCAGCCTGAGAGGGAGGCGGCGGGAAGGCCAGAGGTGCCGCCCCTGGAGTGGCAGGTGGAGGGGGGACCCCTGGTGGCGCAAACTGATCTGGCGGTGGAGGTGGAGGCCCATAGCCAAAACCTGCAAACAAACAGGACAGAAAAACAGACACCATGCTTGCCCACGGCCCAGACACCAGGAGCCTTCAGAGGATTCCCATCTAAAATGCATGAGCGGCCAGGCCCTGGGAACAAAGGGTAAGAGACCAGCATGAAAACTGTGGGCAGCAGGGACAGCGGGAGCTGAAGCAGGCCCAGGAACTAGGTGCCTGTGGTGGCTGCTGGCTATAATTCACTGCTCAGGAATGCTCATTAGGACAGAAGTCAACCGTCCAACACAATCCAATCCATGTGCTTTGAGAAGACAAGTCACACCCAATCCATGTTTCATCCTCAGGATGCGGATAATGTTTCTATCCATCTCTGGTCTTGTTAGAGCAGACACACCTTTTCTCTAAAGAGCCGAAGGCAAAGCCATCATGAGGCCCTGCTCCAGGCCACAGAACTGAACTACTCAGTCCTCAGCCACTGGTAGTCACTGAGCCTACAAATGTGGCTGGTCCAACACTGCCCCAAAAATGACACATCTGGATCCCAAGGACTTATTAGTAAAAAGACTGTAGGACCTTTTATGTTGGTGAAATGATAGGTGGCCATCTGAGTTTTGTGAGGGGTTCCTCTTTACTATGGAACCCAGCTCCTAGAGAAGGGGAAAGAGAATTGATGTGAGAACCATCAATCCGTTTTCTTCTGTATGTAACCCAACAGGGGATCAATTCGGTAACCCAGGTATGTGCTCCAACTGGGAATCGAACCAGCTACCTTTGGGTGCACAGGATGACAATCAACAAACCACTCCAGCCAGGCTAGGCTGCGCCCTTTTGTTCTGAGGGTACTGAGGTCAGAGGAGAACCCTAACCTTTCCAGTGAGTTGGATGCTCTACACCCAGATCTTCAACCACAAAGGAAAGCACAGAGGAAAGTGAATCAAGACCTGAAGCCCCTCAATTATGAATCAGTTTAGGTCTAGAGACTCACTCGAGGCATGACATGAGGAAGAACAAGGTCTCTGTGCTGTGACAACTCATGTGGCCAGCACATAGGAGCCAAAGCCAATAAATCTGGAGTCCACAAGGCCAGCCCATCCTTTGCTTCCAGACAGAGGAGCCAGGACAGGCTTTCGACTGCACCCCCCGTGCGAGAGCTAGGTAGTCTGTAAGAGGTGTGCTAGAAAGACCTCCCCTGGCCCCAGGACTTACTGAATTGTGGGGGGGCTCCGTAGCCCTGTGGGAAGCCCTGTGGAGGAGGGAACCCTCCAGGAGGGGTGGACACAATGTAAGAGGTGAATGGTGGGGGTGGTGGGGGAGCTCCTCTTCCCGCAGGGGGCGGTCCGTAGCCACCTGGAACACAGGACACAGGGTGAGGGAGAACATGCGACACACGACCCCCTCCTGCCCAGACCCAGGCCTGCCGGGGGCCCACTGCACTTGGGATTTTATAATCTTCCCGTTTCCCGAACAAAGACTTACCAATTGCCTGTCCTGCTGGCACCCACATTCCTAAACCAGAAAACAAAGATACGGATTGGTGCTGTTAGACCAATGTCACCAACTGGATGCGAAGCACTGCACTGCCCTCATACTCCTGAAGCCCCTTCTCAACACGCCGTGATCCCAAGAACACCAGGTATTGCTGACCATGTCCTCTTCCACAGGGGAGGATTCAGAGAAAAGCCATTGGATCAATGGCCTGGCTCTTAAACAGAACCGTCAAAAGGGATGGAGGAAACACCCACAGATCAGAGACTCAGGTGAATGTGTGGCATTTCAGGCCTGACTACCGGCCGAGCATGGGTCCTTCACCTGCTGGTGGATGAGTGTCCGGAATTGGTAGTTTATTGGAGCTGTTTCATTTTGCAATTAATGCAGGTTTTAAAAATGAGAGAGCAGGGATAAAGCCTTGAAATGTGTAGATAGGTCTGCAAAATCAGGGGTGTTGGGTGCCCTGGGTATAGACAGGCCAACTTGGCCTCCATCTGCTCCTCTCGGGACACTGCCACTTATTTGGGTTTCCAACAAGGAAGGAGGATCCGAGATCCCATCCCAGGGCTCCCCTCCCCAACCATCCTGCCAGGCTGTCCTAACCGCTCTCTGGACCACACACAGAGGACCTAACAGCCCAGCTGATGTCAGCCCAAAACTTGGGGAACAGAAAAGACCTAAAGAACCCTAGAAGCAGGACTCTCCTTCTAGCCAGGTGAAAATCTCACCTGCTCACCATCAGTCTCAAAACCCACCAGGTTATCCTGCCTTGTCTGTGGAAAAACCTAAGTAAACCATCCCAGACCCTAAGGGCAAGGATGCTCACTGCAGCCCTGCTGGCCCAAACCCAAACATGGACTTGGCCAGGACCCAAACACACCACTGAGGACCACACCACTCTTGAGAAGGACCCAGGGCCCAGCTGAGTAGGGAGTCCTACCTCCATCTGCATGAGCTTCCTCATGGCCCACCTCTGTGCTAACTCTGGGAAAGTGGGTGCAGTAGCTTGTTCTGGAAAGAATCTTACCTTGTGGGCCATATCCTTGCTGCCACGTAGGTGGGGGCTGGCCTGCCCAGCCATTGGCGGCACTGGGCATGACGCGGCTGCCCCACTGGCTGGCCCCTGGCTGTCCAGGCACTTGACTTTTACTGTCGCGAGGTTCAGCCCGTTTAACCTCCACCTAGACAAACCGAGGTCTGGTTCAGGGGGACGCACAGATCCCAGGCCCCTTCCCTTCAGACACACCCTCAGGTAACTTATGACTACACTTAGCATCTTATTATAACTTAAAACTAAATACTTAACTATATAACTTAATTAGGCCAGTAGCTTTCTCTTTAAAAAGTTTTTTTTCTGTTTTAATTATTATATTTAAAAAATGTTTCTCAGGTACAATGGATGTGACTGTGACATGCTAAGCCCTATGTGCTGCAGAGCAAGGACCCTTGAGCATTTTATGCATGACAAGGGTCTCTCAGCCAAGGTAAAAGAGCAGTATCCTCTTTCAGCATCTCATAAACCCGGGACAGAGACCAGGGCCATTCCAATAATCACAGCCCTGGATCCACTGAGTGGCAGGAGCCCTCCCCTGGCCGCATCATGATGGTGGGGGGATCTCTTGGGAGCCCACCCACCCCGCCCGCACCTTCAGCTCATACCTGAGAAACACAGTTGGTTTACTTAGGTTTTTAATTTAAAATGTCTAAAGGAAGATAAAGACTTACCTTCCCCAGGCTAACGCTTAAGAAATCTCAATTAACTCAAAATAATGTCAGAGGGAATGGATATGATAAAGAGCCTTACATTACATCTAACAAAAAGTAAACAAACATGCAATAAAATGGACATTTGGATCAGTAAGCAATCTTCATACTGTGTTGGGTCAGCAGCCCAGGACTCTTCCTCTTTGGACATGTCAGGAGCTACAGCCAGGGGAGAGGTCGGCAGAGCAGGAAGTGGTGTTACCCCACTTATGTTGCTCATTGCCCGATGGCAAAATGATGCCCCACTTCCAGAGTTGTCTCAGCACTTGAGAATCCTGGATTTTTTCTTTTTGGATAAATTTTAATAAGTGGGACAAGAGATCCACATGGAGTCATACTTGGGGTCTTAGTCTGCTGAGCTAAATAACCACTATGTATCAGAATTCTGTCAGTGCTCCCTTAAAACAGAGGCACAAAAGACCCCTCTCCCCCTCCTGATGCCTCCAGGCTACTCTTCTAATGGGGACCATCAGGAGGGGGAGAGGGGTCTCCCTTAGCTAAGGTAACTGGACAGCAGAACCAAGGGCGCGTCAAAGAGCTGAAGCTGAAGGGTCTTCACACTCTCCTTAAGGAAATTTGGCTCCTGCTTACAAAGAAAAGCAGCCCCTGTAATAAAAAAAGGTCCTGTACTCTCCTCCTACGGGAACTCAAAAATCACTCTACTCTGATTTTAATTAAAGTGGGACGGGAGCCCGTTAGTCGGAAATCCCCACGGAAGAACTGGTGGGAATTAGTGAAGGTGCTGCGACAGAAGCCAGACTCAGCCGGCACAAGAAACCCTCTCAGTGTCAGCTCTGAGCGGTCCAGACTCAGATACCCTGCACCCCACAAGCAGGTGGTTGGCAGCCTGGAGCAGGGTCAGATCGTGCACTTAGCAGACCTTTCTGCTCCTGGAGCAGCACCTCACTTCTTCCAAGTTTTAAATGTCACAGGACTTTCTACTATTGAATGTGTTTTTAACTGGTGTGTATTCTTGAAGTCCTCATGATGGCTTAAACTAAAAGCTTCAATGAGTTTTGGAGTGAGGTATGTGTCTCTCACTTAGTTGGGTTCAAATGGGATTAAGCCTGCAGGGAAACCTGGACACCTTGCAGGTATGAACGGCTGCCCTGTTGAACATCAGGGAGCAGGCCATCTGGGCAGACCCCAGTGCCATGCCTCCTCCAGTATCTCAATCAGAAGGGCTGGGCATGCTGAACCAAATGAGGAGAAACTGGGAACACACACCAACGGGACCAATAGGACTGCCGCCGGGGTGTGCTGAGCAGGCTTTACAAGGACCCAAACAGGGATCCTACCAAAACGTGGGCCCCAGACTTTGCTAACTATGATACAAGGAATACCACACGACAGAATTTCTGCCAGTTACTCACTTTACTGTTAAGTATTCCAAAAGCTGCAAGGGCCCAGACAAGTGAGTAGTTAAGGGCCACTTTCTGACAGTACCTCCATGGCGGCAACACAGTATGAAGATGAAACAACCAGAGGTCACTTGACTGCATGGAGTTAAGTACTATCGAGAGCATGTGGTTGGTACCGGAGTTTCACAGTAAGTGACCCAATTAAAACAACCAATCCTTCAGGATGTTTACATTTCTCTGTTTTACACGAAACCTGTTCTCAAAGGTTGGCTGCCCATCGCGAGTTGGATGGAACAATTGGAATACAGTTCAGACATCTGAAGGAGTGGTCACTGGAACCAAGCCTGAGGCAACCCACAATGTCACTGGAGGCCACTGCCCACCGCCCGACAAGTCTCCAGAGGTCCAGGTCCCACCCCACCGGAGAGGGTCCCAGCACCTCTCACCTGGACCTTTTCTATGAAGGAAATTTTGTTTCCAGTGACATCCCTCAGTTGCCTGAGACTTGGTTTGGTCTTAAGGTAAAATAAAACTACAACTACACACTTTTTTGCCCATGATGTCGTGAAAATGCATGTTGACAGCCTGGTCCACTGATTGTTCGTCCTCGAAAGTAATAAATCCAAAACCTAGCCAACGACGAAGAGTGAATCAAGGTAGCAGGGTGTTGTGACACAAAACAGGATGATGAACAGTATTAGGGACGGGCCGAAGGATCAACCCAGGGCTTCAGCGAAGCAAGTGAAGGAGGGGCCGCAGGCCTATCCAGCGAGTGAGTGAGGCAGGGGGAACGGCCAGACGCCTTGGCCCAGCTCAAGCTGGGGTTCCAACTGGACACTTTGGAACAGCCAGGGCGCCTCTTAGGGAGCAGCAGCCTGAACAGCCCAATAGCGAGGGCCGTGAAAAATGGCAAGGAATGCCGTGTTGGTGCTAGAACATTCCGTGGAAGATAAGTACAAGGCAGGGAGCAGCTGAGCACTCCGCCTCAGTCGCAGGTACCCTGTGGATGCACTGTTGCTTCGCTGAAACCCAGGGTTCTCCCCCTCGGCTTGCAATGTGCTTTGCAGCTAGTGCTGACAGCAGCCATACATTGTCCTAGGCGTTAACAATACGGTCTATACCACAGTTAGTGCCTCGCTAGGCTTATCCAACACTGTTGGGTAAGCCCAAGGAGTCCTGTCAAGATCACATACGTATGTATACAGGTATCTATCTGCACACATCTATGTAATAAAATACACAAAGATACAGGCCACAGCGGGTTCCAGCAGGTCAACTCTGCTGTCAGCAGCAAGAGCAAGAGGCACCATGTCATCAAAGAAAATTTTAAACAGAAAATAATTTAGCATTTTCCAAATGCAAGAAAGTGGCAGTATAAACGAAGTTTGGTTGGTCTGGGTGAGCGCGACCACCCGGGTAACGTGGCGTGTCTGGTCCTCAGTCTGTTGCCCTTGCTCCCGGGGCCCATCAGCTTTGAGCACAAAAGGACACATGGCAGACAGCTGCCAGGAGATCCCAAAGAACAAAATATGGGTGAGGGGAAGTGCCAAAGCCAAGAAGGGTCTGAAGATGGGCATGGGGAAGGGGCACAGGGACAGAGTTCTGTGGCAGAGGCGTGGAAGTAGGGGCAGGCCTGTGCTGGAGACCACCAGGAAGACCACAGGTAAAATGGCGGTGGGAGGATGGAAACAGAGAGAAGGCAGTTCAGAAAGTCAGGTGACAGCCTAGCAGGGAGGGGCAGCTCGGATGCAGAAGCCTTTGGTCTTATTCTCTCTGAATATGCATGCACACAGATCTACATGTGGTGTGTGAGAGAAGAAACAGAACTACGACAGCAAAATTGGAGAGGAGACAAAGCTGGTGGGAGGGTGGGGAGCTGGAGAAAGGGATGAGGAGCAAAGATAGAAGCAGAATGAGTGGGCTAGAGGTCAGGGCTGCCATCTGGCAGATGCACGCAGAACCCTCGAGACAGGGACACTGTCTTAAACCAACAGGAGAGGGTGGGGGGATGATTCAGAGCCATTGTGAAAGCTTCTGGTGAGTAAGGTAGAAAAGAGCTATTTCTGGGACACCTGCAGACCAAATGCTTCTCTGGGTGGTGCTCCTACCCTCTGCTTGCCCAACGCTGGCGGAAGCTCACGGGGACTCGCAGAGACCTACGAAGCCAGGTGGCTGAGGATGGTGCGCACCACCGGGGAACGCAGGACCAAGCCCAAAGTTCTCTCCCCACCAGCCTGTCCTGCTTGCACCCCCAACCCTGGGCCCAAGGTGAGGACCGCAGGTGGCCTGGGAGGGGGTGAGAGATCTGGGGAATCTAAGAGCAGCCTCGGGATCCCCATGTCCTAAGGCTTCACAAGATCCGAGGCAAAGGTGAAACACAGCACGGGTGATAAACGCATAGTACGAGGTAACATTTCTCAGAGTGCAGGAGTATCTGAAACCACAGGGCTCGCGAGGTCCATTAGGGCACAAGAGGCGGTGACTCGTGGGTAAGGAGCCTGGGGCGGGACGTCTAGGGACGCGTCTGTGTCAAGAGGCGACATCACCACTGAGGAAGCGGCACAGAAACACACTGAAACTTCGTTTACACCCCACTGGAGCAAAGCCCGCTCCCTCCTCTGACTGCAGGATGGCCTGTACCTGTGTGATATAATTTAGCACCTGGAGAAGAGAAATCTAAAGAGAGATCGTTAATCACAAAAATTCACAGAAAGGAAAACAACTTACTTAATATTACTATATTTACTATGGAACACTTAATATGTCACTAAGCATGTACGTCTATGTTAAAATTAAGACTATGACTTAACAGCTTAATCAACATCAAGGGAGGAGACATTACTTAATCATGGAGTAAGAGGATGGAAGTTCAAATGGCAAACTATTCTCCAGCATGGCGGGCGCATGCTGCGACGGCAGCCCAGCGCTCTAGGGGTCTTCCAGGGCAGGGGCTGCAGGGCCTGGACCGGCAGATCAGCTCCTGGCCAGGGCCCAAAGCAGCTGATGAAACAAAACAGGTGGGCAGGGACAAAGAGCAGCAGCCACACAAAAAAACAAACAAAAAAATGAAACCGCCAAACCCAAAGGGCATGGGTGTCAGGTGCTGCCTGGCCCAGGCCAGACGTGCCAGGGTGGGCTGCCCTGGAGGGGATGTGCCCTTCCTCCCGCCAGCCCCATTGACCGAGGAGAAAAATAAGAAAAACAGGAAAAAAGCATGAGGTGAATAAGGAAAACTCCACATTCAAGCTGAGCTGTAGCAGATCTGGCCTGACAACATGAAATGAGACTTCTGACTACTCTGGCATGAGCTGAAGGCAGGAGACAAACTACACTGGCATGAGCTGAGGCAGGAGACGGTCTTAACTAAGGAAGGTCACGATGGAAAAGGACACAAGTCTTTCAATGCACATTAAAGAACAGAAACTATGTTCAAATTCATGTCAAGTTGTAAAAACTTTAAAAGAATGAGCAAAAAAAAAAAAAAAAAAAAAAAGACAGTAATGTCTGACCTTGGGGAGCACAGACAAGCTGGGGGCTGCACAGGAAGAGCCTACGTTTTAATCGTTTGTCTCCAAACCACCCTTTACTGAGACAATGCTTGCTACAACCACCACCTAATTGTGAGATAGTTTGCCATCTGAGGGGGAAGGTCAAGGACAAACTCCATCTCTTTTACCTCGAGGCCTCTGCTTTTCTGCGTCGTAGATCATGACCACTTCTGTGACCTGCAAGAGAAAACGGCTGTTTGAGGAGCTGGATGCCACAGTGCCTATGAGCACCTCTGGCTAGGACAGAAGACCCAAGCCAAGTGCCTGCTGGGAAGTCTCCAGTCTTGGGAGTCCTGAGGCAAAAGGCTGCCTTCCAGAGAATGATGGTCCAAGACTCATGCCACCACTCCATAGGGGAGTCGACAGCCAGGAGACTCATAGGGCATCCTCCCTTCAAAATGCTGGGATGGAATGACCCAGGACACTGATGCTCCAGGACTTCCCTTGTCAGTGGCCTGTTGTCCTGCTGATCCAGCCCTCATTGCCCTCCCCCCACCTCTACTCCACTCAATAAGTATGGCCCTCTCATCATGTGCTTTGGCACTCCTAATCCCTGACCACTCAGCCCTCACACTCAATACCTGACAAATACAATACAGCAGCAGGTGGGGCCACACCACTGACAGGGCATTTGAGCAACAGGGGCCTGTGCAATAGCCCCATGCACACCTGCACCCTAGCCCAGTTTTTTCCTCTGCTGGCCCCATTAGAACTGAGTTCCCTATATGACCCTGATTAACTCTAATCCCCATGAGATGCTAAAGGATTTTAACCTCTTCTAGAAAACAGGATCATCCCTGAGGGAAGGTCTGTAACCACAGAGGAAAACAATGAGCAGGACACAGAGCCAAACATATCCTGTGAAGCCTGGCAGCCTCAAGCTCAATGAGAACTGCCAGAGGAAACAATGGGGTTGGGCCACGGTCCCTATATAGTGAGGCTCACGCTGCTGGTACAAGAACCTGGGAATGGGCTCCACTCTGGAACTCCTCCACCAGGCCGGGCCCGCCCTTGGCTGCAGCTATCAGGGATGTGCACCATGTTTCGGATCCTGGGCAGGAGGAGCTAGCTGGAGGTCCCAGGTGAACTTGATCTGGAACACACCTTCCTGCCATTGAGGGACAGAAGGCTGGCTTCTCCCCAACGCTCCCTAGTGCCTTACAACCATCCGGAAAGCCTCCTGGATGCAGGCCTGGCCAATTTACATCTGCCTGGAAAAGGCATGACTACTCTCCTGGATGGTAAATGGCCAGGAAGGGAAAAGATGGGCTCTGGTTGCTCTGTTCTGGGGGGCGTGCAGGGCAAGAGGACAGAGTCACCATGCCCACTCCAACTAGGCCAAGGTGAGCAGCTGCTGCCTGGATGTTGCTGGTGCAGGAACAACTCACCACTCCGAATTTCTTGAAGTATTCCCTGAGCTCTGTCTCACCACAATTGTGAGGAATTCCACCAACAAATATCTTATTTGATTTACTGTTATCGTTCCTGGGTCCTTTCTGCTGTGTCAAGAAAGAAAAGTTGATTAGACCATGCAGGGAGCCCTAGCACGACCCCCAGAGTTGTAAGTACTTGCATTGGTTTGAGAGCCACTCTGAAAGTTCCAGGAAGTTCAAAGGGAACCAAGAACAGCATTTCCCCAGAGACCCAAGAAAACCCAGGCCAGCACTGTGGTAGCGCTATTTCAAATGCATTTTAAAGTTGACTGTAGTACTGTGTTCAAATATTCTGAACTACAATAGTTACAGAATTTAAAGGTCTACACTGTGAACAAAGGATTTCAGGACAGTAAGGAAGATACCTGGGGCCTCCATAATTAATACTGGTTTTCAGATGGTGATTGAGGGACAGAAGGCTGGCTTCTCCCCCACACTCCCTACTATCTTTACAACCAACTGGAAAGCCTGCTGGATACCAGCCTGGTCAGTTTACATCTGCCTGGAAAAGATGTGACTACTCTCATGGATGGTAAATGGCTGGTTTTCAGATGGTGATATTCAATCTGTTGACCAAAACCTCAGTTCCTGCCCTGAATTGCTGCCCCTCCCAACCCCCTCCACTCCTAATACCCTTTCTTTCTATTCAAGGAGCTTATGGGTTAATTCGTCCCAACTGCTCTTGATTAGCAATTTTGGGGATGAATGAGGGTTTCACAGGTATGCAGATTATGGTCTGTGCCTATTCTGTCTTAAGAAAGCTTCCAGGAGACTAAAGGACCGTTAATAACCAAAGGTAATCTGAACCCCTGATTGGAGTTCAGTCTGAAAAGCTGTGAAGGTCATCTGTAAGACCGTCATAGAAATATGAGCAAGGCAGTGTGGACATGGGTGACATCTTAGGCATCTTAGTTGACGGGATGGGGATTCTGTGGGAGGCTTGACTTTTAAGAGATGCATGCTCCAGAATTTAGGAGTGGTTTATGCAGACAGAGATGAATATTAATATAGATAACTGGAAAATAATAAAAACAGATTAATCTAGTTTCCCATAATTTGTAAATTTTTCTAAAAGAAATTTGGAAAAATAAAAATGGTTTCAAGGTCTGAGGCCCCTACCAGCAGCAGCTAGGATCCTGCTAGAAATGCAGATCGCAAACCTCCACTTAGATCAGACACTTGTGTGTGGAGCCTGTGTGCAGCTTTTCAACAGCCTCCTGCCTGTTCTATTCAGTAGATCTTTCTACGAGGAAGGAAGCATTCCTTCTCTGAGAACTGCGGGGTGGTGGAAGGGAAGATGTGGGTGGTAAGTGACAAAGGACAGGTCTGTTCCAGCTGACCCAGAACCAGGGGCCACACACAGCTCAGAGAATCTCCAGGAGTCACCACACTGGCTATTCAAGCGACCAGTCACCAGGTTTGTGTCTGGAGGGGAGCAGCTGCAGAGCTGGGAGGTGGAAGTCTCAGAGTTAATGATGACCAGGCCACCAAGTATAGAGGTGAGGGAGTGGGGGAAAAGTACCGCTCGGCCCTTTTGGCAGGCTGAGAGTACTTGGGGCAGATAAAAGCAGACTGCTCCGATGATAAACAGGTGCGAGCTGTCATTTTTTTTTCTAAGTAGACTAATAAAAATTCTCTTCTAGGCTACAAGATAAAAAAAGAATTTAAAGTGTTGAATAAATCAGAGAAATTTTCAGCTGGTCAAGTGTCAAAGATGACCTTGAGTCACTCCTAATCTTAATCAGCAAAAATTCCAGATCAAAGACACATTGCCTAACTACAATGCTGTACATCTGAAATTAATATAGAATAATATTGAATGTAAATTGTAATTGAAAACAAAGAAACAAACAACAAAGGCACATATGTCCTTTAAACTGGCTGTTGAACATGCGAGGTTGCCCACCCAGCCCCTTACCCAGCCTTCTTTTGGCCGCGTCCTCTCTGGCTGCATTCCCCGAGGTGTACATGGCTTTGGGTCGATCTGTAGGAAGTTTCAAATGAGCCAGTTGTAAATATGAGGTTCTTTTCTCTAGAAAAGAAGGTGTCAACAACAGCAGCCAGTAGCACAGCACACTAGCACTTGCAACCAATCAATTCACACCATGTCCATATCCATACCATAACTTCAACCTCCAGTCTGAATAGAGAGCCTTAATCCTTTTATTTTTTTAAAATATATTTTTATTGATTAGCGAGAGGGAGCAAGAGAGAGAAACATCAATGATGAAAAAGAATCATTGATCAGCTGCCTCCTGCAAGCCCCACACTGGGAATCGAGCCCGCAACCCAGGCATTTGCCCTTGACTGGAATTGAACCTTGGACCCTTCAGTCCAAAGTCTGGAGCTCTATCCGCTGAGCCAAACTGGCTAGGGTGAGCCTTAGTCCTTTTAGATCAACCCCACAGAAAAGAGTCTTTAACATAAACATCTACAAAAACTGAAGGAATCCAGTGAGCTGAAGGATAAATGACAGAGAAAGAGGCAAGGACCTCAGCTGCAGCAGGACTTACATTTCGACCATCCAGTGTGTGTGGTCTGCTGGCCAGCACTGTGCCCACACAGTTTGGGTCCTTAAACTTGACAAACCCGAAGCCTCGAGACTGGTTGGTTGTCTTATCTTTCATGATCACACAGTCCACAACTTCTCCATACTGGGAGAAGTAGCTGCGAAGAGTCTCTGCTCAGAGATCAGGACAGAAACAGATACACACACCAGAGCGTTAAGCACAGCATCACAGCTGGCATGTAAACATACATACCCACACATGTGCAAGTGCTGCTCTTTTTCTATTCATCAGACTAACCTGGAAAGTAACTAGCCATTTTTCAAATCTCATTTTACTTGACTTTTTATTTTATTATTTTTAAAATATTTATTGTTCAAAGTATTACACATTCCCTTTTCTCCCCATTGACCCCTTCTAGCCCATCCCTTACAACTAGCCACTTTTAAAGTACATATATATTTTTATTGATTTCGGAGAGGGAGAGGGGAGAGAAACATCAATGATGCCAGAGAATCACTGATCAGCTAACTCCTGCACACCCCCACAGGTTGAATCTGCAACCAGGATATGTACCCTGATCAGGAATCACACTGTGACATCACGGTTCATAAGTCAATGCTCAACCACTGAGCCACACCAGTTGAACCAACTAGCCACTTTTATTTATTTATTTAAATATATTTTATTGATTTTTATAGAGGAAGGGAGAGGGACTGAGAGTCAGAAACATTGATGGGAGAGAAACATCCATCAGCTGCCTCTTGCACACCCCCTACTGGGGATGTGCTTGCAACCAAGGTACATGCCCTTGACTGGAATCAAACCTGGGACCCTTTAGTCCACAAGCCAAGGCTCCATCCACTGAGCCAAACCGGTCAGGGCAACAACTAGCCACTTTTATTTTATTTTATTTTTTAATATATTTTATTGATTTTTTTTTTTTTTATAGAGAGAAAGGGAGAGGGACAGAGAGCCAGAAACATCGACCAGTTGCCCCCTTCCCCCCCCCCATTGGGGACGCACCCGCAACCAAAGTACATGCCCTCGACCGGAATCGAACCTGGGACCCTTCAGTCCGCAGGTCGATGCTCTATTGACTGAGCCAAACTGGATTAGGCACAAGTAGCCACTTTTAAACTGACTCATCAACTAGTTTGGGGGCAGAGGAGGAGGATAAAGGATAGGAAACACATGTGGAAGAAGACATGTGGAGTACATCATGTCTTCTTATAAACTAGAAATGCTGCAACTGAGCATGGTTTTGACAAAGGCATTCAGAATGGAGGCCACTTGACAACCAGCTTCTTCCTGCTACATCTGAACTCAGTGACCATGGGCAAAGCCTATCCACTGAACTTTGCATGCTAATAGTCCTCCTACTTCCAGAACCTACCTCGGCCTTGAGCTAGGAAGCTGCAGTCTAATTTCTCCCTCAATTCTGCTGTGAAACATCAGGACGAAATTAACCTTTTCAAAGCCAATATTGCATTCCCCTGCCCCCTGCTAATGTCCAATCAAACGCCCTTTTATCCCAGAAATCAAAACAATAAATCAATGAAGAATTAAAGAAACCTGAGGTAGTAGCAAGAGACGAATTCACAACACAACTTGAAGACCAAGGTCAGCCTGCCTGCAACGCCTGGCATTCAGCCATGGCACCTACCTTGGGTGGTGCTCCAGTCAAGACCGCCCACGAAGAGCTTCCTGCAATTCAACAAGAAAACATTTAGGGTCAAATGGCTCTTGCCTTAAAGATGCTGCCCATCTGATCCATCCCAAGACAGTAATCCACACCACAGAAGGAGTTCACACAAACATGCTGACATTGTCACGGTCATGGCCATGGTCATCACCTGGCCTCACTGATTACAGATATGAAAAATTATTCTAAGACTTGCCAACACGGCAGGGTGAGTGTTATAATGTAGTAAAGACAATATGAATTGTACATGCACATGGACAACAACCACAGCAAGTCCCTCCTCTAACACTTTTGAAATATTATTTATTTACAATTAAGATCTAAGATCACAGAGGACAAACCAGAATGACAGCAGGAGTAGGGCAAAGCCTCAGACACCCACCATGTGATCATGAGCCAGGACCTATAAATCATTAGAAAGATTCCCAGAGCTCCAGACCCAGCACTGGAGTCCTAGCCCACATTTCCCCACTCCAGGATAGCCTGGGTTGTATTTTCAAACATTCATACTAGAACTTTCAGGAGGAACCCCACACTGTCCCTGTAGCCTACCTGCCTTGTGTCTGCACAGCCCTCAGCAGGTTCAGAAACCAGAGCCCCCCTACTACCTTCAGGGAGGGCTCCACACCGATAGGATCTAAAAGGGAGGGCTGTGGCAGTGCCTGCCTTTTCCATCTCTCACACAGTCCTCCAACTGGCTGGACCTGGAGTGAACCAAGGTGCTGCAGCTGTTCCAGCTTTCACAAGGGACTATGCTCACCTTCCTCACCCTCAGCATCCCTCTGTATCATTCTATCCTCCCAAAGCCCTGGACACAGCTATGACAGAGGAGGCAGAGAGAGAGGGGTCCAGCAGCAGTGGTGGCAGCTCTCCATCATTCTTGTTTCACCAGGAAAAGGAGACACTACCACTTTCATCCTTGGAGCTGGACCTAAACACTAACTGGCGGGTCTTCAGATGCTGGCAGGGGGCCCAGGACCAGTTCCCACCTGAGACACAAGGACCCTGCAAGGCTGATAACACTACTGCCTCCTGAGCAACCAAGAGAATCTTCTGACAGGGAGCTTTGCCCTCCTCCTAACAGAACCCTCAAGGTAACAGGCACACCTGTCACCTCTGCTCCATCTGGTGATTCAAGCCTCAGTGTGCCAGTCACTGGCAAAATGCCTGTGACAGCAGGCCTGTCAGGGGCTTCTTCCAATCTGCCTTTCCTCTAAGGAAGGACAATTAATATTTAGTGTGTGAGAATCAATTTCCCACAACCAGACAGGTACCCACTATCATCCTCAAAATGCCAACAAATAGGCCACCACCGGTCTCTAGTTGGGGAGGGCTAGAAGGGGATTCAGGATGCATCTGGCCATAGATGTGCTTCCAGCACCTTAGAAAGGGAGCTTGGTAAAAACAGGTTTCAGGGAACATGCTGACCAAGCAGCAGCAAGGCTCATATTTAGACCTCATTAACTTAAAACCATGTCGCAGGCCACCTGCCTTCCAACAATTGGGGGTGCAGGCTGAGTGCCTCCATCTGTGCCCCACTCCCCAAGGGCTGTCCAGACACTGCCCAAAGCAAACTGTGACTCAGGCCCAGCTTCACTCGGCATGCCCAACCCCTTGAGGCCTGGAACCCAGTAGGGGCACAAGGCCTCAAATGACAAGGGCCAGAGGCTGGCTAGCATTGCTAACTGCCTGTTTGCCCAGTCCTTTGAAACAAAACAGCCAAAGGTTTGCTGTGAAAAAGTAGCTTCATACAGGAAAGAGATTGCAAAAATTAAAAACAAAAAACAAACAAAAACAACCCAGTTCACTTCGAGAACACCAGCTTCTATTTAGCATTGCATCCACCAAAACAGTAAAGTAATAAACTGTTGCACATCCAAGAACCCCAACCTCCACTGCTCACCAGTAGAGGAGGAACCTGCCAGACCAGTCCAGGTTCCAGCCTTCACTTAAATTTCAAAATTAGACATTAAGGGGGAAAAACTAGAAATGCCATCACCCACACAACTGACAGAACTTGCATCTGCTCTGTGGATGGATATTAACATAACATCAATACTGTGCTTTCCAATTTTATCACTGTGCTGGTGCACTTAAGAGAATATCTCTGTTCTTGAAAATGAAACACATGGACAGGTCTACTCAAAGGGGCATCACGGTACCACTTCCTTTTGAATACTTCACAATGGGGCAGAATGTTAGCCCAGGGAGAATCTAGCTGTATAAAGAATATTGGGAACTTTCGTTACTAATCTGTAACCATTCTGTAAATCTCAAATTATGAGATTATAAATTAGGAAATTCTCATTATTGAGTAAATGCCAGGATTTACTCAACCATCCCGTCACATCACGTAGGCTATCTGAGAAACTCAGTAAGAGGTGCCTCTTAGATGACCATCAGCTTAGGCAGAGGAAAGAACACGGCAAGCCTCCATGTGGGGCAGAGTTTGCTGAGCATTTTGAGTGTTTCCACTTCCTTTCCTCCTGCTCTGAGGGCACACTCTTGTGGTGTGCACACGGAAGGCTCCAGAAGGTCCTGGGAGGCCAGTTGACTGTGGTGACAGGGACCTTTCTAGAGCCCCAGCACAAAGCACCAACCTCTGAGCCTCAGTTTTTATAATCAATAAAATAAAAAGGGCTCTGGGTGCCCACCTTACAGGGCAAGTGAGAAAAAGGCGACCCAGTACCCTGGAGAGTAAGATCCCCACAGGATGAGCCCAGACATAGTTCCCCCCTGCCCAGGAAGCATGACCATCCGTCATCAACACTGACATGCAGTCCTGGCACCAGTGGGAACCCTGTTCAACCCACTGGCTGTCCGGGGGCAGCCCAGACAAACTCACTTGGCACCACGTGACTCTCAGGAGTAGATGGGCCTGTACATATGGGACTCTGCAGATTAAGGGATTAGCCAACCATGCCAGCTCCCCTTCTGCAGCCCTTCCCTGCTCTGAAGGGTATAATTACTCAGCTGAAACTGGATGTCAGGGCCCCATAGACCCTGGACTCCCCAAACCTACATGCAAACTTCCTGGCTCTATCAGGCCTTCCCAGAAAAGAAGTCTAATTCCCAAGATGGAAGCAGACACCACCAGCAGCTGGGTGATCTGAGAGAGGTTGTCTATGATCAGCACATTCACTCTGAGGGCCTACACCTCAAGAGGGGGCTGGTGACTTCCTCCTGGAAGGGGCTCTGCACAAGTGACTGAGGATCTTGAATGTTTTTGGATGACTACCCTGCTCTTGCTCTGTGGACTTCAGGGCAGCCTTGTAGTTTTCGCACCAGGAAGTCAGTCTTCAGTGGCTCCTCCTGGCTGGGACTGACCACTGTGGGCTCTGCCCTGGAAGCATATTGGCAGGCTTCGGAAAGTTCCATCCCGCTTAGTAAGAAAGCCACCCACAGGGGGCAGGGGGCAGGGGCAGAGGCAGAGGGCCTGGACCAGCCAGTTGTTGGGCAACTGACCACTTCTTCTTAGAAAGCATCCAACCCAGAGCCTATGTTTTCACCTTTCTGGTCTCTAGTGGGGACACATTAGGACTCCTTAAGTCTGTCCTAGTTTTCCTGCAGGAGGCAGGCAGCCCTGGCTCATGGGCCTTACTCCAAAGCCCACCCTATGCCAGCCCTTGCCCTCTACCCTCAGGCTTCTTTCTTGCCAGCAGAGAAGAGCACCCCCTCCCAGATGACTATGGGGGCTGTGTGACAGGAGAAAACCTCAAGACTGTGCTGAACAGTAAGAGGAGCCCCTCCACTGCCCTATTCCATACAGGACCAATGTCCTCCCCAAATCATGACCTCTCTGAAGCAAACCAAACAATGACTCTCCCACATCAGCACAAACAGGCATTTACAAGTATAATCCACTGCTCCTGGTCCCCATCTTCCCAGGCCTCAACTCAGGGGTATCCTACTTCCAAAGTCTCTCCAACAAAATATTCCAGAAACACCAGGCACTCCGCCTTGGGACCACTCCACATGCCATCATTCAGCCAATGCCAGGCTGCAGACCACTGAGGTCACCCATTTGCAGCCTCTCTGGGAGAGCAACGTGGGCTCACCCCACATCCCCAGTCTTTCCTTGGAAGTGATCCCAATGCAGCGTCTTTCCTTTCCTTGCAACTCTGCCCTCAATGACATGGAGGTGTCCCCGCCTCACCAGTCCCCAGTTATGCAAATAGGACCACGTGTGCCAGATAAAATCTTCCTCACTTTTCTCCAGTTCCTGACACAGTTTGGCTGGATGGAACAAAGTGCCTCTGGATGCCTCTATCTGTAAAGGGAGAGAGCACTCCCCCAGCACCTGGCAGGCACACTCCGATGTACACCCACAGACCCCAGGGAGAATCTGAATCAAAGGACCTTTCTTTAAGTTGACTTTCCAAGGTTGTGGCAGGGGAAGGAGAACCTCAGCCCTGTCTGCTCAGCAGGATCTCCAGGAATATAAATGCCTGTCACTGCAAGAAATTCCTCAGAAGAGTGGCCATCTGGCCATCTGTACATCAGCTACACAGGGCCAGAGGTGACCACAAGTGACACCCACTATTCCTGTCAAACTTCTATCCTCAACACCTAGCCCTTGCTCTGCTCTAGTTGACTGTGACAATCAGGACTCTAAAAACATTAAGTAAAGGCAGTGGTCTCAACCAACTTCCATTCTCCCATCAGATTTCATGCCGACTTCTGAGGTAGCCAGCTCAGGTAGTCAAGAACTAGAGCAGCTCTTCAGAGACAAATTCAGTACAGACCAGGAAGGAAAGGTGTCCCAGGCATCCACACATTTCCTGAGGCCTCCAGTGTACTCACACATGTGGGTCCGGTTAAGGAAAGGGAGTGGCCCCTCCCACCTGTCAAGTACTCCCTAGGGAACTACTGGAGTGGTGACCAGACACCAAAGCAAAGGAGGTCGGAGGTGAGGGTGGCTGTTACCAGATATCATTCAGACCTGCCATATCCTGATAATGTCTGCCCTCACTTGGATCTGAGCACAACCTCCCACATGGTAACCACTTTAAAGTGGCAACCATGGTCCCCTCACAGGAAATTGCAAGAGGGGCCATTGCCAAGGAGCCTGGTTAGTACAGTTACATAGCAAGGAGGTCAAAATGGACCTGGGATGCCCCATCCGACGAAAACAAGGTTCCTATGCAAAATAGAAACTTGTTAGTACTTTTTGGCAACAGATTTTTACTTGCAAAACAATAAACGTTTCTGGGACACCTGTGACTTACAACTTTAAAACTCAGGTTGTTGGGTAGATTCACCACAGTAGGAGGCAAACATGGCCAAGCAGGCCCTAGTCTGAATCCTGGTTCACAAGCTGCCTGAACATCTGGAAAGTCCAGACCCAGGCTGGGACAGAAGGGTTGGGACAAGTTGCAGGGGTAAAATGCCTGGCTTCCCTGTCTCCTCACGGGCATACTTGAGGGACAGCCCTCATGATCTCCAGACACCTCCCTTTCCTAACCATCTCTGCTCTCCAGGTGAGAAAGAAAGGCAGCCCAGGCTTGAAGACCCCTGTACTCTGGAAAGTCATGTACATGTGGGTGTGGATATGGTAAGCCTGTTAACTCTCTCCCCACCGCCTAGTTTCCTGTTACAAGTGCTGCAACTTTTCATTTACAGTCTTCTAGTGCCTGGCAGAGTTCAAACACACACACACACACACACACACACACACACACACACAGCTGTGAGCTAAGTGCTTTCCTCCGGGTCCAGTAAACGGCATGAGGTTTTGGGGAGTGGGGAGCCCACAAAATGCATTTTACATCCAAGGTGTTCCCAGTGGCTGGAGTGAGATGAGGGCCTGGTGATGCCAGCCTCCCACCAGCAAACAATGACTGACTCACCAAATCAATTACTTTGTAAACACCACATCTATTCAAAGCTCTGGGCACTAAGAAATATACACATGGCCAGGGAAAAGCAGCACACAGTTTTGCCATCTTCTTCAAAGAATCTAATTGTAAAATTATGCTGGTGCAGTGGGAGCTGGTATCTGCATAGAAAACTGGAGCAATTCCCTCCACTAGGGCAGAACCGCATTTTCTAGCTCCGTTGGGATAGCTTCTTGGATCTCATCTTGTGCAGCATTAGGCAAGGTTATAATTAAGGGGAACTTAGCTGTAATAAACCTGCTCTGATAGCAGCGCTAAAAGGAAGACCTCAGGATCAAGGCTTTCTGCCCACCCGTCCGAGTTTTCCTTTTTTTTAAAAAAATTTTAAATACACCCAAGGAGAGTTTCGGTGGGGGGCTGAGCGAAAAGGGGTTCCATCTACATAAAAACAAGTTACAGACGCGATGGTTGCGCTGACGGATCCCCGTGACCTTGGTCCGAGGGTCCTCTGTTTATGACCCTTCCTTGTTCTTAGCATTTGCGGGAGATAAGAGCGGAAAGGGTGCGATGCCGCCCAAGTCTCTGATGGGAGAAGTTGGGCGGCTGCAGAACTGGAGCCCCCAGTCGGGCCCGCCACGTGCGCTGACCCACCAAGTTTGTGCGCGGACTGGGGGCGCCGCGAAACCCTGCAGGTTCTTGTTCCGGTACTCCAGGAGAAACACCGGCACGGGGCGCCTGGGGCACCCAGACCCTACAGATTCCGGTTTGCAGTCTCCCAGCGGGAAATCCAGGCGTGGCGGTAGACGGGGAGCCTCAGACCCTCCCGGTTCACGCTCGGGGTGCCCCATGGTAAACTCGGGCACGGCGGTGGCAGGCCCCGCCGGTGCCGCCTCGGTTCCCATTCGGAAGTCCCCCAGCGGGAAACCGGCGCGGCGGCGGCGGCGGGGCACCCCCCCTCCCGCCCCTCTAGGCTCCTGTTCGGAGTCCTCCCGGGCCAAGAAACAGCGGGGACCCTCAAAACCCCCAAGTTCCCACTCGGGGTCCCCCTCCCCGGGCTAGGAAGCGGCAGGATCCCGGACTGCGGCCCCACGGCATGACCTTGACGGGCCAGGCGGCGTCTGGGAGGGGGCCGGCCGACGCTGCTGAGCGCCTGGCGAGTCCTCACCCTATCTCGTCGGCGCCCGAGTTGTTCATGGCGGCGGCGGCGGCGGCGCTCGGCGTCCCGGGCCCCCTGGCTCGCTCCCGCCTCCGGAAGGTCACTGGCCCCGGCGCCCTCCCCACAGCAGCGGCCCGGATCTGCGCAACGGCGGCGGCCGCGCTGCCTCCTCCCCTCAGCGACAACCCAACAGTCACCGCGCGCCCCCGCGCCCGCGCCGCCGCCCTGCACACGACCGGGCGCGCTCCCGCATAGGGCGTCAGGGGGCGGGGCCAGGGGTGCGCCCTCGTGCGTGCTGTGTGCGTGCAAGCGTTCCAGCGTGCAGCAAGGCTGACGCAGCTCAAAGGCCGAGTCAAGCTTTCTTCTTGGCGGCTGCCAATGTCGCCGCGGGGCATGCTGGGAAGTGAAGTCCTGCGCTTAGCTGTCGGCCTCACCCCATGTGGGGAACGCGCGCGGGCCGAGCCACGTGCTTGCGCGTACGTGCGTGCTTGCGCTGCTGCGCTTTGGAATAGACACCACGAGGCGGAGGCGCAGGCGCGTCTGTGGCTTCCTTGTTCAGTCTCCTTTGGGAAGCGCTGGAAGCGTTTTGGGTGAGCTGTGGGTACAGGCCACGCCGGCCCCCCACCGGGCCACCATCAGCTTCATATCCCATTCTTTGCGCCTTGACTGCACCTACACCCTGCTGTTCCCATCTCACAAAGATCCATGGGTCAGAAAAGCCCAATCACCTGCCCAAAGTCACTTAGGGGGAAAACTGCAATTAAATCCAACAGTTGGCTAAAAATTCATGATTATGAAAGCACTAGAGGCCCAATCCACTGATCCGTTCACAAGTGGGGTCCCTTAGCCGGGCTTTTGCCCTATCCCAATCTAAGACCCCTCAGGGGATGTAGGAGAGCTTGTGTCCACTCGATCCCTGCAGGCCAGGCTGAGGGACCCACTGGTGCATGAATCCATGCACTGGGCATATAGTATGCATATAAGACCTTTGGTTAATCTCTTCCCACACTCCTTTCTCCCCCCTACCCCTTGAGATTCATTAGTCTGTTCCATGTTTCCGTGCCTGTGCATTGAGCGTCTGCCCTCCCTCCCCCTGTGGTCAGTGTGCTGACCTAGCCTGTCCTGCTAGCCCAGCGGTAGTGGCAGGACCTGACATCCCCCAAGGGCTTCCAGACTGAGAGAGGGTGCAGGCAGGGCTAAGGGACATCCTTGAGTGCATGATTTTCATGCACTGAGCCTCTAGTATACAGATAATGAACCTCTACCACATGAATAGTATTGTTTCTGCCCTCAATTGCCCACACAAGATCATCCCCTGTTATCTTGTCCACCCTCTCCCCTTCCCCTGACCCCAGTCACAGGGCTAGTAGCCCATTAAGCATATAGAATGCTTTAAAATTCTCTTGTGGGGGGCCGCCTGAGACCGCATAGGCTTCAGACTAGAAACTAGAGGCAGTAAAGTTAAAATAAGGAGCCAAGGCCTCAAGCTCTACCCCTCCCCCTTCCCTATCTTGTCTGGAACATCACAGATATGACCTTCACTGAACACCTGTTCCCCACTTCCCCTTTCTCAATTTTCTGTAATTGAGAGGACAAAAAAATATTGCTGTCTGGAAAGGAGGAACATGGGACAAGCAGTGTATATAGTCACCCCACCAGCGTCAAAAGCAGAGGACCACCCTATACCCCTTGACCTGGTTTAATAAAAACCTTTCACCCAGCTCTAGTTGGTTTGGCTCAGTGGATAGAGCTCAGCCTGTAGACTGAAGAGTCCTGAGTCCAATTCCCTGGTCAGGGCACATGCCTGGGTTTCGGGCTGCATCCGCAGTAGGGGGCGTGTAGGAGGCAGCCAATCCGTGATTTTCTCTCATTGATGTTTCTATCTTTCTTTCCCTCTCCCTTCCTCTCTGAAATCAATAAAAATTTTAAAAATTAAAAAACAAAAACCCACCCTGACTGGTTTGGTTCAGTGGATAGAATGTCAGCCTGCCGACTGGAAGGCCTCGGGTTTGATTCCAGTCAAGGTCATGTATCTTGGTTTCAGGCACATTCCAGTAGGGAGTATGCAGGAGGCAGCTGATAGATGTTTTCTCTCATTGATGTTTCTAACTCTCTATCCCTCTCCCTTCCTCTCTGAATAAAAAAAATCAATAAAATATATTAAAAACAAACAAACAAAAACAAAAACCTTTCCCCCACACTCTATCGGTGTGTATTATTCTCCAAGATCACCCACTTTCATTTCTTGAGTGCGTACTATCACTTTAGTAAACTCACTGTGCTTTGCTAATTCTTTTTTTAAAATATATTTTATTGATTTTTTACAGAAAGGGAGAGGGATAAAGAGTTAGAAATATCGATGAGAACTGAGGCCGGTTTGGCTCAGTGGGTAGAGCGTCGATCTGCGGACTGAGGGGTCCCAGGTTCGATACCGGTCAAGAGCATGTACCTTGGTTGCGGGCACATCGGGGGTGTGCAGGAGGCAGCTGATGGATGACTCTCTCACATCAATGTTTCTAACTCTCTCTCTCCCTTCCTCTCTGTAAAAAATCAATAAAATATATTTTTAAAAAAAGAAAAAAGAAAGAAATATCGATGAGAGAGAAACATTGATCAGCTGGTTCCTGCACACCTCCTACTGGGGAAGTACTCGCAAACAAGGTACATGCCCTTGACCAGAATGGAACCTGGGATCTTTCAGTCCTAGGGTTTACACTCTTTCCACTGAGCCAAACCGATCAGGGCTGCTAATTCTTTCTGTCATACTCTTTTTTTTTTTTTAATATATATTTTATTGATTTTTTTACAGAGAGGAAGAGAGAGGGATAGAGAGTTAGAAACATCAATGAGAGAAACATTGATCAGCTGCCTCCTGCACAACCCCTACTGGGTATATACCTACAACCAAGGTACATGCCCTTGACCGGAATCAAACCTGGGACCCTTCAGTCCGCAGACCGATGCTTTAGTCCACAGACCACAGACTGATGCCAAACCGGTTTTTGCTCTGTCATGCTCTTGAAGTCCTTGTTCCATGCCAAAGACCGGGATCAGTTTGAAGCCTCCCTTGACACCATTAAGTGAAGTGAATAGGGTGTCTATTCAGGCTGAGATGCATGCCCCAGCTGCCAAATGGCACTCAAGTCCAGGAGCATTACTATGGAGTCTAGGGGGTTGGGAGGAGCCTTATAACCTGGTTTCACTACAGGAACTCTCTCCTGTCCTATGGCCCAAGCTCTGCCTTCAAATCTTCTGGCCAAATTCCCACCTTTGTGTCCAGTTTCTTTCCAATCTGCCCCTCTGGTCTCACTACCCTGGGCTGCAGCCCACTTGCCCCAAACCTGCCCCACCCCATCCCCACCATCTTAGGAAGTTCCCTTCCTTTCTGATGTTAGCTGCCTTCAGAACATGTCCTGGATCCAGCCACTTCCCAAGGCCCCCACTGTTATCACCTTGGCCAGGCCTCCACCATCTCCCACCAAGACAGACGTCAATTTGGAAAAAATGCACAAGTCATTCTCCCTTGACTTCCCTAGGCCCCGGAGTAAAGCCCAGAGTCCATTGTGGCCTATGAAGCCCTGCCTGCCCACCTCTCTGCAGCTCTCCAGACTCTCCCAACTTGTTCCACTTCCCAGCCTTTGCATGGGCTGTGCCTCATGCCTTGCCCAGGTGTCCTTTCACAGATGCATGGAACCTGCTCACAGAAGCCTGTCCTCACTATCCCTGCCAAAGTAGCACTCCTTTTTAGTTATGTGTTTATATTGGTTTCAGAGAGAGAGGAAGGGAAAGAGGTGAAGCGATGGAAACATCAATGAGAAACATCCATCAGCTGCCTCCTGCATAACACCCTACTGGGGATTCAGCCTGTAATGCTGGCATGTGCTCTAACCTGAATCCAACCAATAACCTCTTGGTTCATGTGTCTATGCTCAACCACTGAGCAACATCGGCTGGACCCCATTCTCTTCCTGACGCTTGTTTTTTGTTTTCCCAGGACTTAGCACAGTTCATAATAACGCCTCCTCTGGGACCCTCACCATCCCTCCTGGACGTGCGTCGACCCCTCTGCCCTGGTCTATTCATACCTTCAGGGGTCTGTTCTTTCCACAGTCACTAGAGGGCTGCCGTGAACACCTGAGTCAGGTTTGGTTCTCTGTCCTATAGACTGTCCTCCCAGTAGCCATGGTAAAGCGCCAGAGAGCACCTAGTCCACACGTCCCTGCTCTGCCAACCGCCCACCATGGCTCTTATGTCCCTCAGGATAAAAATCCACGAGACCTTGCATGACCTGGCCCTTCTTTTGGCGCGGGGTGTTCTTTCCATCTGGATGCTCTTCCCCACTTGAGTCACCACTCCAGTCTCTATTCAAAGTGCCCTTCCCAGTGGCCCCACGCCCTCCCTGCTGTCTCCTCCTCAGAGCTCACGGCAAACCTTGTTTTCATGTTGACTGTTGGCTCTTCCCCATGCTCAGGATTTTTGTTTATTTTTAATTCTCACCCAAGAACATATATATATATATATATATATATATATATATTGAAATACAACTTCCATTTATTTTCCCCCAGAGAACTTCTCTTCACTCTTTAAAGACTTAGCTCCTTACATGGGCTTTGGTGGAGGTCGTGGGGCAGCACCCGCAGGTCTAAATCGGGGTGGGGGTGTTCAGTCCTTCCGGGCTTCACGAGAAGGGTTCCTGACTCCCTTGCTGTGAATGGCACAGCTCACACAGCAATGCAGCTTCACATACAGCTTGGGAAGCACATAGGCGTCAAAGACACTGGCTTCGGAGATGTCCCTGATGGCCGTGGCCTCCACTATGTTTTGAATGACAAACTTCTTTTTTTTTTTTTTTTTAATATATTTTATTGATTTTTTTACAGAGAGGAAGGGAGAGAGAGAGAGCTAGAAACGTCAATGAGAGAGAAACATCTACCAGCTGCCTCTTGCACACCCCCTACCAGGGATGTGCCCACAGCCAATGTACATGCCCTTGACTGGAATTGAACCTGGGACCCTTCAGTCCGCAGACTGATGCTCTACCACTGAGCCAAACTGGTTTCGGCTCGAATGACAAACTTCTTCTTCTTCTTCTTCTTCTTTTTAAATATATTTTATTGATTTTTTACAGAGAGGAGGAGAGAGGGATAAAGAGCTAGAAATGTCGATGAGAGAGAAACATCGACCAGCTGCCTCCTGCACACCCCTACCGGGGATGTGCCCACAACCAAGGTACATGTCCTTGACCGGAATCGAACCCGGGACCCTTCAGTCCGCAGACCAACGCTCTACCACTGAGCCAAACCGGTTTTGGCTGACAAACTTCTTAATGGCCTTGTCCTTGGGCACACACCAGGCGCAGTTGGTGCAACAAATAGGCTACTCATGGCCTCGGCCTTTTTTGGCACGACCGTTATTCCTCCTTTTCTTGGTCATCTTGGAAACGAGGACCCGAGAGAGGCCCAAGGATATTTTTCTATTGATGTTTAGGGAGAGTAGAAGAGAGAGGGGAAGACAGAGAGAAACATCAATGTGAGAGAAACTCATTGATCGGTTGCCTCCTGCATGAACTCCCACCAGGGCCCCAGCCTGGGAGGAACTTGCAACCAAGGTAATCGCCCTTGATTTGAATCAAACCCAGGATCCTTCAGTTCACAGGCCCACACTCTATCCACCGAGCCAGACCGGCTAGGGCCCACACTCAGGGGTTTTGACTGTTTTGTTCATTGCACAGGTACTTAATACATGTTTGCTAAATAATTTTTGGAATGTTTATGGGTGTTGCAGCCTCTTCAGGCCCTTCCATGCCCAGCACCCAGCTCAGAGCTTGGCAAAAGCAGGCACACAGCCAATATTTGTTGAATGAGTAATGAACTGAGCGCACAGTCCTAGCTTGGGCAAACTAGAGGAGGGGCCTGGGCTCCTGCAGGCCACTGTCCAAGCGGGCAGCTGACCACCGCCGCAGGGCCACGCCTCTCCCCATTCCTCCATTCTAGGCGGGACCCCTCCTCCCTGAGTTCCCACTTCCCCATACCGTACCCCTTTCCAGCTCCTATGGGAGCCTCTCCCCGCCCTTCCTTCGCCACCACGGAGCCCTTCTTCACCTTTCTAGGGTTCCCCGATCCTCACCCGCTTCTCTGCTCACACGCCCTCCATCTCCCTCGGGATCTCCTTGAGCCGCCCCTCCCGGGACATCACGGCGAGACTCCTTTTCCTGCCCCTGCAGGTCCCCAAGACCCCATTCATTCGACCCTTTCTAGGAGGAGCTTTGGCTCAGGTCTGCTGAGTGACCCTCCCCGTTCCCTTCACGCAGGCGCAGGGCGTCCCGGCCGCCATCCCCCCCATCCCCCCACCCCCACCTCCACACCCGCCTTCCCCACTCCTCCTGCCGAGGGCGGGGCGCGGGCTGGTCCGAGGCGGCCACTGCTCCATGGGGCTCCTGGGGCTCCTGAGCTTGCTGCACTCGGCCTTCTTCGGGGACCAGGTAGGGCGCGGGGGCCCGGCGGCGGGGATACGGGTCCGGCCCTGGGCGCAGCTAAGGGGTGCGGACCGCGGGGACAGTGGTCCCGACGGCCGCAGAGGCTCGCGCACCCCGGCTGGATGAGTCTGGGGTCTCGTGCAGTGGCACGGGGACCGTTGTCAGGGAAACCGCCTCAGGCTGTTGGCAAGGCTGGGAGACCCTCCGCTACACTGCAGTGACCCCCTCCTCCTGGTTTGCGCAAGCGCAGGCTCACTGGGCCCAGCACTCAGCCTCGAAGGGAGACCCCCCAGACCCCGACCCAATGTGGGGACTCCGAGACCGGCTGGGGCAGTGGGGCTACGGCAGGAGCGCGCTGTGCCGAGGCTCCATCCTGAACGGGCTTCGGGTTGGGGTCCGGGCCACGCCCTGCACCTCTCCAGTCCTCAGTTTCCTCTTCTGAACACCAAGCACAGGGCCTACCACGACATTTGCGGATGGTGACGTTCTTCCTAATAACATACATCTCACTGGGCCCTAGCTGTTTGCCGGTCTCCACAGTCGTTCTGAATCTTGGAGCTATAATATCCCTATTTAAGATGAAGCTGAGTCTAGGGGTGCAGCGGGGAGCCCAAGGTCACATTCGGAGCTGCGCCAGGAACCTAATTGCGGGGCGGAAGCGCCCTCAGAGCATACCACCTAGAGGCTAGAAGGAGCTGTCCGCGGTGCTGACGGGCCCACGCACCAGCCCCCTCCTCACCCATGAAAATGAGGCTCAGGACCCTGGTCAGGCCACCCAACCAGAGTCAGATTTGGGGGGGCGGGGCTTAGACTGTCTGGTCACCTCTCCCCCCGTCTCCCCCACCCCGCCCCGGCCATGGGCATCCCCTCCTCACTTGGTCACCCGAGACTTGTCCAAGGTTTCATGATGACCTAGAGCCTTCCTGCTTCCCTCTAGCCCCCTACCCAGCTCCTAGTGGGGGATGCCGCTGGTTCTGCCCCCAGTCCCTGGCACATCGAAGGGGCTCATTGGGGAAGCAAGGAGATCAAAGGGGCAGAAACTCCTGAGGTCAGACTCAGAAAGCCCAAAGACCCTCCATGAGTGACCTTACAATGTGTTGGGATTGGGGGGGGGGGGGGGGAGAGAGGCCCGGGCAGGGATTAGCCTCTGGGGATGGGAAGAAATGAAATGAGCCCCATGATTTAAATTTCTTCTTGAGAACCCAGCAGTAATGAGTAGGTTTCTGGGAAGGGCCCTTCCTTGCTAGGCCTGGGCACTGTGCAATGAGGATCTCTCAGCCCCTTGAGATTGGGCCTGGGATCTTGGGGAGGGGCTGTGGGGATTCCTGAAGTTCTCATGGTTATAGAATTTCCAGTGATATCTGGGTGTGGCTGTGGCTCAAAGACTTACAGGGTCAAGGATTTGGGTGATGTCAAGGACATAATGTCCAAGAGGCTTGTGGACCAGGGCATCCTGCCTTGGGGTCTTGGCCCCCATATCCTCTCAGCCATCCAGGCTCTCACCATACCCAGATAGGTGAGGAAGGGAGGGAGTTTCAGGTCCTGATGGGACTCTTGCATGAACTCAAATCAACGTATTCCCTGCCCTGAGCTTCAGTTTCTCCATATGTATGAGGGCAGGACTGGCCATTGGACCCTCCAAGCCCCTACCAGCTCTATGGTTCTGGCTGTGGGAGTCTGTGGAGCAGTGACATGGGTGGGGAAGGTGAGACTTAGTTCACTGAGATGTGGGGATAGGGATTCTCCAACCCACCTTCCAGTGAACAAAATGAGAAACTGAAGCCAGAGAGAGGCATCCTTCAGGGTGTGCACATGTCAGCAGTAGGAATGACTGGGCTGCAGCTGCAGGTTCTGGCTGTGGGTGTTAAATCCGCTAGTGGTCTACGTGGACCCATCAAGGATCTGAGACAGCTAGGGACTGGGGACATGTATTCCTGAGACCTCAGACTCCTCTCTCTTCTGGTTTTCCTTCTGTGAGGGTGAATTAGTGGTGCGGTGAGGTACAGAGACATAGGGGGAAAGAGAGGGGATAGATGGAGAGAAACTGAGAGATGTGAGGGAAGAAGACACGGAGTCAAGGCAGATGCCCATGGAGGAGCTGTCTCTCTGCCAGGGAGAAAAGAAAAAATGGGGAGAAATGCAGGGTCCCGGACACTCCCCAGGATGCCTGCCCATGCCCATCCCCATCCCCATGTTCCCCCTTCCCCACCAGTGCCGGGGTTTCATTCAGCCTGGATCCTAAGGCTGTCTCACCCTGACCCATCCTCACAAGGCTGGGCCGAATCCGAGGGGGAGGGGGCTGACCGGCCCTGCATCTGCCCCTGCCCTTGCCCCGGGAGCTTCCCCGCGCCCCCCCCCGCGCCCCCCCCCCCTCCCAGCAAGATTCTGATGTAACCTCAAGCCTGAATGTTTTACTCTCAAATTATGCTGATCCTGCGGCGGGACATCCTAGGAGACCTTTCACCCCGGAATGCTGTGGGGGACACGGAGTCCTAGTTCTCCAGGCGCCCCCTTTCCCTGGAGGCTCCATCTCCCGCACCACCACGCCCGCACACGCAGCCCCTGAACGTGCGAGGAGGCCAGAAGCCCCGCGGCGGCCGCCGGTCCCCGCCCCGGGCCGCCATTGGTTGTTGCCATGGCACCAGCCCGTCTTCCCGCGCCTCCATTGGCCGCCTCGCATGCATCCCGCATCCCGCATCCTCCCCCGCTCGCGGTGGTCTCGCCCAGCGCCCTGAGTGGCGGCGCCGCCTGCCAGGCCCGCACCGGCCTTTGTCCTCCCCAGAGCCCCTTGCTCACGCCGCCAAGACCCCCGGAACCCCGGAGCCGGCGCCCCCGCGGCCGTCCTGGCCCAGGAGCGCCAGGATCTCAAGCGGGGTCTCGGGATTGCGCCGAGGGAGGGGGACCCGGGCCCCTGGGGGGTCCGCCAGCCCAGCCCAGCTGGAGTAAGATAAGTAAGCGGCGCGCTTTCTGGGTTGAGGGTAGGGGGCGCGGTCGCTGTCTCTGCGGGATGTCTTCATGCTTTCCCTTCCCCCCCCCACTTCTCTCTGCTGCGCAGGTCCGCTCTGGCTTTGGAGCCTCTGCGTCTCCAGGGTGGAGCCGGAGGGGAAACTGAGTCCCAAAGAGGTGGGCACCTGTGTCGCTGCAGTCGGTGCCACGCACACACATCCACTCACCAGCTTGAATACCTGGACCTCCCAGTCTGTGGGCAGGCCTGCTGGTGTGCCTTGGGGCGGGGCAGGGCAGTGCTGCAGCTCTCTGGGTGTCTAGTCCTCAGGAAGTGGGAGCTTGGATTGAAGGAAGAAGGGCCCCTTTGGGCTACACCTGTGCTATATACCTCACGCTGATATTTGGTCACTCGTTCCTTAATTAGAGGAACCGCCAGCTATCAGTGCTTTTCCTTTGGTAATAAATATATCTCAGGGAGGCCCCCAGGAGGCTCCTGGTGGGTGAAGGGCAGGCAGGAGGGCTTCCTGGAGGAAGCTGTGCTGCAAAGGATGGCAAGTCAGGAAAGCTGATCCGGGCAGGAGAGCTGCATGTGCAAAGACCTGGGGGAAGAGAGTGGAGTGTATACGGAGGAGACGGGTCTTATGATGAGGGTACTGGGGAGCCATGGCAGCTATTGAAGCAGGGAGACATGGAGTCTGACCAGTACTTCCAACGTTTCTGTCTGTCTGTGAATGAGAAATGGCTTCTCACTGGCCTTCCAGTGAGAGATGTGGGGAGAATGAGGGCCCAGCTGGGCAAAGCTTGAGGGGCTGGTAAGAGAGTGGATGGAGCCCTAACCGGTTTGGCTCAATGGGTAGTGCATCAGCTTGCCTGCAGGCTGAAAGGTCCCGGGTTCGATTCCGGTCAAGGGCATGTACCTTGGTTGCGGGCACATCCCCAGCAGGAGGTGTGCAGGAGGCAGCTGATCAATGTTTTTCTCTCATCAAGGTTTCTAACTCTCTATCCCTCTCTGTAAAATATTTTTTTTTTAAGAGAGTGGATGGAGTTGAGAACCCAGGACTGAATGTGGGAGAACGCAGAGGAGGGGCTTGTTGCCATGTTGCCAAGCTCCATCTAATGAGGGTGCAGGAGTGGCAGGGGGGGTGAAGGTATCCAAGCTGGCTCTGCTGGCTCTGCAAGGGTGACGTGTGTGTGTGTGTGTGTGTGTGTGTGTGTGTGTGTGTGTGTATGTGTGTTGAGGGGGATGCTTGGGAAGGAAGTTTGGGTTTAGGAAATGGCAGGGATATGCTGGGGTTTGTGCTTAACCTAGTGCTTCCCCTGGCTAGGTACAGCACGATGGCTTCAGTCAGGAAACAGGGGTCTAGCCAGATCCCGGGGACCTTACCACAATCCCAGGCCTCATTCTCAGCTGGGACCCCTGACTGAGCCTTGGGCAGGACTGATATTAGGGTGATAGGCAAAGGCTGTGGCCCCCAAGCATCTGGCCTCCCTCACCTGACACACTATCTCCCAGTCTGACCTATGACTTGTGTTTGCTGAGTGACTACAGTTCCTCCTCCTAACCCTCACATCAGCCCACTAGATGGGCCGGGCAGACTGAGTTCCTTCCGTTCCTCAGATGGGGGAACTGAGTTCAGCAGAGGGCATAGGGCCATGTGCCTCCACATTTCCTATCTGAGCATGCCCAGTGTCTAGGTTCCAGCTGTGCCTTGTCTGCCCTTCTAGACGGGGGACTATGATAAGGAAGCCAAATGACAGAGCCAGGCATGCAGTAGGTTCTCGGAGCCAATTTGAAATGCCTAACCTATCCCCCCACCTGGGGCAGAGCATTTGGATTCCCCTACTCCAAGCCCATCTGTGTCCTTGGTGACTTCAGGGTGAGCAGGGACCTTCTAGAAGTAGCAAGAGAGAGCGGAAAATGAATGAGCAAGTGAATGAGAGTGTGGTCGGGTCGGGGAGGGAGCAAAGGGTATCCCCTATGGGCAGAAGAGGGCTGGCTGATTTGGGGAGGGGACGCAGGGGGGCAGGGGGAGGGGGCTCCCAGGGAGGAGGTGGCAGAGGGGATGGGCTGCTATTGGTGAGCCTCAGACAAAGGCAGAGAGAGGGAGGGGGAGCGCTGATGCTAAGGGAACAAAGAGAGAAGGTGGTGGGGCAGGAAGGCTCTGGCAGGAGTGCCAAGCTGAGGGAGGAGATACTGGCCTGCTGGATGGAGGGAGGAGGCTGGGCCTGAGCGAGAAAGAACAGCCAGACACACAAAGCAGGTGGCAGCGGTGGAGCCCGGGGATGAGGCTGGGGTGCTGGGGGGCCACAGGAGCTGGCAGAGGGCTGACTGCAGGGCCCCTGGGCCACACAGGTAGCAGCTACCCAGATCCAGCTGCCGATGGAGGGGTTGTGGGGGCGGCAGAGCATTTGGGTTCCCAAATTCCAGGGTGACCGTAGTAGGCTCGTGTCACCTGGAGCTCCACTGTCAGCCTGTCCATTGGTTTCTTAGAACCTTCGTGACATTTTTGTTGTCTGTCAATTAAATCAGTGGGTAGTCTGTCCACCCAGCCTCTGGGCAACTACATTGCTGCAGGGAAAGTGTCTGGGCTGTCCATCTGTCTGTCTGTCTGTCTCTCTCTGGCTGTAAGCCTGGTGGCACTGAGCTGGCTAACCCATCTGCTGGGTTAGGCTGTCAGTCTTGGCTATCCGTCTGTTGGCTGGCTGTTTTATAAGCACATGTGTCCAGGAACCCAGCTGTGAGAATGGAAGTCTTTCTGTATCTGTCTGTTGGTCAGTTGGATGTTTGGCTTGTCTGTTTCTCTGAATACCTGTCCGATGGCTTTGTCTCTCTCTCCTGTTGTTCCTGCCTTTGTCTGTCACTCCCTCTGCCACACCATCTGTCCCTAGGATTCCCCGGGCCAGCACTATCCTGCCTGCAGCTCCTCCTACCTGGGACCCAGCTCCAGGGTTGGGTGGGAGGGCTAGGGCTTAGGTCCGGGGTTACGCCCTCCTCAGAGCCTCATGTTACCTGTGGCTACAGGTGCTGCAGGAGCTAAAGATGACGAGCTCCGTGGCACCCTACGAACAGCTGGTTCGGCAAGTGGAAGCCTTGAAGGCCGAGAACAGTCACCTGAGGCAGGAGCTTCGAGACAACTCAAGCCACCTGTCCAAGCTGGAGACCGAGACATCTGGCATGAAGGTGGGGGTGGGGCTGGGCAGAGGACTTGGGCCTGGGTCACAGGGACAAACACGAGGGCACTGGACCCCAGAAATGGGCAGGCAGGGCCAAGGGCATCTCACAGGGGGGTGGAGCTGGGGCAGCTCAGGGCAGTGGCCATGACAACCAGCACTCTTTCCTGCCCCTCACCTCCAGGAGGTACTGAAGCACTTACAGGGGAAGCTGGAGCAGGAGGCCCGAGTGCTGGTGTCCTCAGGGCAGACGGATGTGCTGGATCAACTGAAAGGTGAGAGGCCAGCCTTGGGGCCCCCTCTACACAGTGGGTGAGCTGGGAGGAGGAGGGACAGGAGGGGTGCTGACCTCGCCCTCTCCCTCCATTCCGATCCAGCCCTGCAGATGGACATCACCAGCCTGTACAACCTCAAGTTCCAGCCTCCAGCCCTGGGCCCTGAGCCTGCTGCCCGGACCCCTGAGGGAAGCCCAGTACATGGCTCCGGGACTTCCAAGGACAGCTTTGGGGAATTGAGCCGGGCCACCATCCGGCTGCTGGAGGAACTGGACAGAGAACGGTGAGGAACTGACCACTGGCCCCGCTCCCCAGCCAGACTCCACCCCTGTAGTCTCTGCCCTTTGATTGGCCCATCAGCATGTGCACCACCCACTAAGCCAGTCCTACCCACTTCTGAGCCTCCACTTCAGGCACCAGCTTTCTGGGGCTCCTCCAGCTACTTTCCCGTCACAGCTGACCTCAGCTGGAGGACAAAGGGGAGGGGACTTTCCTGACAGAGGGAGGGGCTCCTAGGAGACGTCCCCAGGGGTTCCCAACACCCAGTCATCACCAGGGACAGGGCTGTGTCCAGTGCCAGGGCTCAGAGTTAGGCCTGGAGCCAGAGGGGCTCAAAGCAGTCTTTGTGAGGAAAGGGCTGCAGCCCAAGAAACTTGGAGGAGAGGGGGCGGCAGAGAGAGGCAGCGTCCAGGCACGCAGCTCAGCTTGGCTGGGTTGTTTGAGGCCAGAGAGAACTGGAGGTCCATGCTCTGCTGCTGTGTGATGTCAAGCAAGTCCCCTAGCCCCTCCCAGCCTCAGACTTCCGCTCTGTAAAATGGGTGGGAATAGCAGTGTCTCCCCACAGGATGCAAAGGTGAGAAGTCCAACTTAATACACAGAATCAGAGTTGTTGGGGAGGGAGAGACCTTGTGAAGTTTTCGGTTTGGGAGCATTATAATATCATTTAAAGTAATCAAATGTTTAGGGTGAATCACCCAGAGCATGGGTGCAGCCAGATGGGGTTAAGGGCAGAGCCAAATCTGTTGCAACTGCAACTGGAGCAATCTGAGCTTAAAGCTTCCTCTGTGTAGCCTGGAGGGAGATTATAGAGTTTGGGCGAGGTGTTATTGCCCCCATCGAAGTCTTTCTCTGAGAATAAGACTTTACAAAGAAACTACCTTCTCTTTCTCTTTAAAAAAAATTATATATATATAAATTGATTTCAGAGAGGAAGGGAAAGGGAGAGAGAAACATCAGTGATAAGAGAGAATCATTGATAGGCTGCCTCCTGCATGCAACCTACTGGGGATCAAGCCTGCAACTCAGGCATGTGCCCTTAACTGGAATTGAACTGAGGATCCTTCTTCAGTCCACAGGCTGACGCTCTATCCACTGAGCCAAACCGGATTCCGCTACCTTTTCTTCTCTCTCTCTCTCTCTCTCTCTCTCTCTCTTAAAATATATTTTATTGATTTTTTACAGAAAGGAAGAGAGAGAATAGAGAGTTAGAAACATCGATGAGAGAGAATCACTGATCAGCTGCCTCTTGCACACCCCCTACTGGGGATGCGCCCACAACCGAGGTACATGTCCCCGACTGGGATCGAACCTGAGACCTTTCAGTCCGCAGGCCGACGCTCTATCCACTGAGCCAAACCAGTCCCGGCAGTACCTTCTCTTTTTAATTAACTTTCTGTGCTCCACCCGCCCATCCCTAGTTCAGGGGAGCACCAAGGGCAAGGCTTTGCCATGCTGCCTGTTAAACTTGGCCATACACCAAGCATGTTAAACTCGTGGCCCAAAAAGAATATTTTTTTTTGTGGCCCAGGCAATATAATGGTATGTAAGAAATGTTTTAATAAAAATTTTGTAACTTAATTTTTATAATATCCTATTATACATAACTAGAGGCCCAGTGCACAGATTTGTGGCTTGAGCAGAGGGTTCCCTCAGCCTGCCTTGTGCCCTCTCGCAATCCAGGACCCGTTGGGGTATGTCTGAAATACCAGTTTAGGCTTGATCGGCTGCCTGGGAATCGGGCCTAAACTGGCACTCGGACTTCCTCTGAGGGACGTAGCAGTACGTCAAGCGGCAGGTGGCCAGGGAGGAGCCCAAGCCACTTGAGCTCATCCTGGCCTATTGTGCCTGGGCTGCTGCTCAGTAGCGCTGCTGTGGTCAGGAGAGGCTCCTGCCACACAGCTGCACTCACCAGCCGTGAGCCCAGCCTCTGGCTGAGCGGCGCTCTCCCTGTGGGAGTGCACTGACCACCAGAGGGCAGCTCCTGTGTTGAGCATCTGCCCCCTGGTGGTCAATACACATCATAGTAACTGGTCATAATGGTCACTCAGGCTTTTAAATAGATAGACAGACAGACAGACAGACAGATAGATAGATAGATAGATAGACAGACAGACTCGAGACCTGGTGCACAAAATTCTTTTTTCTTTTTTCTTTTTTTAAAATATATTTTATTGTTTTCTCACAGAGAGGAAGAGAGAGGGATAGATAGTTAGAAACATCGATGAGAGAGAATCATTGATCAGCTGCCTCTTACACACCCCCTACTGGGAATGTGCCCGCAACCAAGGTACATGCTCTTGACCAGAATCGAACCCAGGACCTTTCAGTCTGCAGGCCGACGCTCTATCCACTGAGCCAAACCGATTTTGGCTGGTGCACAAAATTCTTGCACAGGTAGGGTCCCTAGGCCTGGCCAGTGATCAGGCCAATTAGGGCCTCTGGCTGTCTGCCGGGACCTCCCTTCCCTGGCTGCTGGCTGCCAGCTGGTGCCTTCCTTTGTTCTGTACCACCCCCTGCTGGTCAGTGCACGTCACAGCAAGCGATTAAACTTCTGGTCTCCTGGTCGAACACCTGAGGGGCCACTTTGCATATTAGCTATATATATATATATATGGCTATATATATAAACCCAAGCAACTGAACGACCAATCAGTTGCTATGACATGCAATGACCACTAGAGGGCAAGATGCTCAATGCAGTAGCTGCCTCCTGGTGGTCAGTGTGCTCCCACAGCCAACCTTCAGCAGTCTCTCCCCCTGGCAGCCCAGCCTGCCCCCACAATGGGTACCAATTAGGAGGCTGGCTGGCCTCAATTGTCCCATCTCACTGGGGGAGATGGCCCTGATCGTCCCTGATCACTGGCCAGGCCGAGGGACCCCATCCATACACAAATTTGTGCACCAGGCCTTTAGTTATTAATAATGAACTGCAACATTTGCTAATGACTGATTACTATAATCGTGTTGCATTCATTTCTCTTATGTGCCTTATGCACAGGTGCACCATTTCTCTCCACTAATACTACCGTGTTTCCCCCAAAATAAGACATCCTCCAAAAATAAGACTTAGCGCATGGAAAGATAAGACATCCCCTGAAAATAAGACCTAGCACAACTTTGGGAGAAAAAATTAATGTAAGACACTGTCTTATTTTCGGGGAAACAGGGTAGCAGCAAATATTTTAGTGTCTAATTGCCACATCATTAGTCTTGTACTGACTTGTTTTGGTGTGTGCAACAGGAAATATTTCACTTTTGGAGAACAAGAAAAATAGGTTTAATTGCATTATGCTTATTAATTTGTGCAGTTATTCGGTGTCTGGTAGTTAATGTTCAAGAGAAAATATTAATTTTTATTAAAATGTTCTATTATTTATGTTAACTATTACTTATTTATTTCAGCCTTTGTATTCAGCATGTCTCTATCTAAATAAACCTATGTTTCTATGAAAATTGAAGCTTTTGGCCCTAGCCAGTTTGGCTCAGTGGATAGAGCGTCGGCCTGCAGACTGAAAGGTCGTGGATTCCATCTGGTCAAGGGCACATGCCTAAGTTGTGGGCTTGATTCCCCAGTAGGGGGCATGCTGGAGGCAGCCAATCAATGATTCTCTCTCATCATTGATGTTTCTACCTCTCTTCCTCTCTGCAATCAATAAAAGTTAAACAAAAAATTTTTAAGGCATAAAAAAAAAATATTTGAAGCTTTTTTTTTTTTTCTTCTTCGCCCCACATAAACTTAAATCTTGTTTATTTGGCCGGTGTTAGCCTTTGAGTTTGACGTGCTTACCATACACTAAGCACTCAACAAGCGATTATAAAATCAAAATAAACCACAGCTAATAATGGCTCCCCCTCTGCGGCCGGGCCCACTCAGGTGTTTCCTGTTGAATGAGATTGAGAAGGAGGAAAAGGAGAAGCTCTGGTACTACTCCCAGCTGCAGGGCCTGTCCAAGCGCCTGGAGGAGCTCCCGCACGTGGAGACGGTGAGCAGCGGGGAGGAGAAGGGACGGGTGTGTGTGTGTGTGTGTGTGTGTGTGTGTGTGTGTGTGCTGTGGGTCGCCCCGCCCCTGGCCTGGGGTGTGGCGGGCAGGTCCCAGGCCCTGGCCCGGTCAGACGCTCACCTCGGCCTGCCCACTCCTCCCAGCAGTTCTCCATGCAGATGGACCTGATCCGGCAGCAGCTGGAGTTTGAGTCCCAGCACATCCGGACGCTGATGGAAGAGCGCTTTGGCACCTCCGACGAGATGGTGCAGCGGGCGCAGGTGCGGCGGTGGGCGGGGCCGCGGCGGTGGGCGGGGCCGCGGCGGTGGGCGGGGCCGCGGCGAGGCTATTCGTGGTGGCTGAGCGGAGAGGTCTCTATGGGAAAAGTCTGGATCGCTGGGCGGAGTAATGTGCCTTTGGGATAGAGGGCGGGGACTGCTGTGGGCGGGGTCTGGCTCAGGCGGTGGAGCCAAAGGCTGGAGCTGTCTGGGGGTGCAGCCAGATGGGGTTAAGGGTAGAGCCAGGCTCAGAGGTGGAGAACAGAGGCCAGGGATGACAGTGGGGGACTTGATCAGTGGGTGAGGACATCTCAGGGGGTGGGCAGGTCTAGAAGGATGGGTGGGGTCTAAATAGGGGTGAGACCCAATAAGGGAGTAGGCAGGTCTAGCATAGGGCCTAAGTAGGGGGCGGGGCTGGAAGGATGAGGCAGGGTCTCAACAGTGAGTAGGACCGAATCATGGAGTAGTGGAGTCAGAGCCTGGCCCAGGGAGTGTGGACCATGGGGGGGGGGGGGGGGGGCAAGATGTGAGTGGAGTCAGACCACAGGCTAGGGTAGAGAATGGGTGGGCCCTATCAAGGAGTAGGTGGAGTTAGGGCCACGGGTGGGGTTTGGACAGAGGGAATGGCCATACCTTAAAGTAGGTATGATCAGATGAGTCAGATCTGGGGGGTGGGATTAAAAGAGTGAGCTGGGCCAAATCGGAGGTGGGTGGATTGGGACGGCGGTCGGAGCTGTATCAGGGAGCAGGCTGGGTCAGAGCAGGGACCTGGTCAGTCACAGCAAGCTACGTGTCCCTCTCTCCCACCAGATCCGTGCTTCTCGCCTGGAGCAAATCGACAAGGAGCTGCTGTCTGCGCAGGATCGGGTGCAGCAGACTGAGCCCCAGGTACTGGGAGGAGCAGAGTCAGGGCCCTCAGGGGAGGTGATGGCCCCAGGGAAGGTACCCTGAGGACCCTGCCCAGAGTGTAGGTATAGATGGAGCCTCCACCATGTCATCATGGAGTGTGACCAGTGTCAGCAGTGAGGGTGCTTTCTGGGGTGCTCCCATAACTCCCAGGCTGGTGCTCTCCTCACAGGCCCTGCTGGCAGTAAAGTCGGTGCCAGTGGACGAGGACCCTGACACCAAGGTCCCTGTGCACCCTGAGGATGGTGCCCCTCAGCCAGGCAACAGCAAGGTAAGGGGGAGGCCAGTTGGGGTGAACTGAGGGGCAGGGAGGGGAGTGGAAAGCCAGCCGGATGAGGGTGTGGTGAGGTTGGTAGGGTCAGCATGTGGTTTGGGGCCCGGTGAGGTGGGCAGGGATACCTGCCCTAGGTTCTTTGGGAGAGCACTCTAGACTTAGACATAGGGCTGCCCCTAGAAGTACCCAGTGAGGGCAGTGGAGTGGGCATTTGGTCCTCCACTGGGGGCATCTCCACAATGGCTGAGGCCTCTCATCCATCTCCCCACGGGTGTGTGGTGGCCCATGGGGGATGCAAGGTGAGGGTGGTGGGGGTGAGGAAGTGATCCCCCTGGGCTGGGGTCACAGGACTCCTACCATGGGTAGGATGAATCGCCCAGAGCATGGGGGTCGCCCCTGGCTGGGGAGGAGGACACACTGACGGGGGCCGGGTGGAATCCATCGCCGTCCCCCTACCCTGCCACAGGTGGAGGTGGTGTTCTGGCTGCTGTCAATGCTGGCGACACGGGACCAGGAGGACACAGCACGCACGCTACTCGCCATGTCCAGTTCTCCTGAGAGCTGCGTGGCCATGCGCCGCTCCGGCTGCCTGCCACTGCTGCTGCAGATCTTGCACGGCACAGAGGCCGGGGCTGGGGGTCGCAACGGGACCCCCGGGGTGCCCGGAGCCAAGGACGCACGCATGCGTGCCAACGCAGCTCTGCACAACATTGTCTTCTCCCAGCCAGACCAGGGCCTGGCGCGCAAGGAAATGCGTGTCCTGCACGTGCTGGAGCAGATCCGAGCTTACTGTGAGACCTGCTGGGATTGGCTGCAGGCGCAGGACAGCATCACCAAGGGAGGCGGGGTGGGCAGCGGTGAGTGTGCAGCCTCCCTGGCCGCCTTTGTGCAAGGAGCACGGAGCTTGGGCTGTCGGGGTGGCAGGGTGATTTCATGAGCAGCCCCTGGCTTTCTCTGTGCACTTTCTCTGTGTCACGTGTGGGCTGAAGCCTGTGGCGACTTTATCATGATTGACTGGCAAAAAGAGCCACCCGCAACCTGCGCCATGGTTGCAGGGTAGCTCAAGAAACAGTCATTGAATGCATGTAACCAGAAATATGGGTGCTGACTTTAAGATTCCAGAAATATGGGTGCTGACTTTGAGATTCCTAGTTTGGGCAGCTGATCACAAAGCTAATCTATGACAAAAGCACCACCCAAAGGTCCTGAGCACCCAGCACACCTTCATCTCCTGCCTCAGCTCTGGGTGAGGCAGGCACCTTATTACTCATTTTAAGAAGAGTTAAAAAAGGAGGCCACTGCTCTCGGAGTGACCCCTCGGGTGCCAAGCATGCAGTGGTTTGCAGAGCTTGGGTCTCTGTGGGGGTGAAGGCAGGGACGGGTAGGACTCAACAGGGGTAATTTCCTGGCCTGGAACAGCTCTGATCTGGTCCGTTGGCCCACAGCCCCAGTCCCCATTGAGCCACAGATCTGCCAGGCCACCTGTGCGGTGATGAAGCTGTCCTTTGATGAGGAATATCGCCGTGCCATGAATGAGCTGGGTGAGTGCACCCCTCTCCTCCTCCGTGTCCCCTCCATTTGGCCTGAGGCTTCTGGGCCTCATTCAGCCCAGGGCAGGCGTTCAGCCTTAATGGTCCTGGGCTCAGAGGGTAGGGAAGTGGCCAGGAAGCCAAGAGCAAAGGTGAGAGGTCCAACTTAATACACAGAATCAGAGTTGTTGGGGTGGGGGAGACCTTGTGAAGTTTTAAGAGCATTATATCATTTAAAGTAATCGAAACATGGACAAAAATCTCATCAATGTGCTTAATTTTACTCCAGTGACTACAAAATTAGATACCGCTCATTCAGCAGATAATCACACACTCAAAGGTTTATCAGATCTCTTGTGGTCTGGCTGCATAGAAATGGGCATTCGCAACTGTGACAAGAAAGCAGACGCTGATGAGAGTGTATACCTTTCAAGTCATTCCCTTCCCAGTTGGAAATAAAACCTCAGATCTGGAAACCACAGAAGTGTCCAACAGCCCCAACCCCTAAGTGCACAGATTGCCTCTGCTGTCTTTGCTCAGTGAAGCAGGAAGAGCACCTTGCATTTGAATTGCAAGTTAATTCTTTTCTTTTCTTTTTTTTTTAATATATATTTAATATTTTTAAAATATATTGTTCTTAATTTCAGAGAGGGAACGATAGAAACATCAATGATGATAGAGAATCATTGATTGGCTATCCCCCGAGTGTTCCCTACTGGGGAATGAGCTGCAACTCAGGCATGTGCCCTGACTGGGAATTGAACCATGACCTCCTGTTCCTAGGTCAATGCTCAACCACTGAGCCATGCTGGCTGGGCAAAAGTTCTTTCTCTTCTACTCACCCTGACCATTTTCCTCCATGTTTGCTTTCTCTTTGTAAAGTGAGAATCTAGTTTTCATAGTGACCAAAGAACTGTGTGTGTGGCAATCGTCAGAGGCTGGAGGTCTAATAGTCTTGGGATGTTGAGGGCCTTCATGACCTGAGAGCAGAAAGGAGCTGGGAACCTGAGCAAATAGCAGGGAAAAGCATTCCAGGGAGAGGGAACAGCATATGCAAAGGCCTAGAAGCTGAAGAAGTATGAATGGAAGTGTGAAAGGAGGTGGGTGTGGAGATCCAGGGAATCACGTCAGCCTGGCGGCAGGCTGCCTGAGGAGGTATCCTTGGAGTTTGGCTTCAAAGGTGGGCTTGAGGAGAGCAGACCTGGATGGAGGGAGGGCACCTAAGCAGGGGAATGGAACGGGCAGAGGTTGGGAGGAAGGTTGGGGTTCGTTTGGGGTGCCTCCCTGCACCTCCCTGTGCACCCTCCCATGTTCCCATAGGTGGGCTGCAGGCTGTGGCAGACCTACTGCAGGTGGATTATGAGATGCACAAGATGACCCAGGACCCACTCAACCTTGCCCTACGCAGATACGCTGGCATGACCCTCACCAACCTCACCTTTGGGGACGTCGCCAACAAGGTGCCTGGGGTGGGCAGGTGGCGTCAATGCTCCCCCCACCCTTGTCTGAGCCTCAAAACAGCCCTGAGAGGTGGGGAAAGTTGTCCTCAGTTTATAGGTGGGTAGACTGAGGCCCAGAGAGGGCCATGAAAGGAGGGATGTGGCTGGATTCCGTTGGCTAGGCCACCGTCTTCTTGGTCGCTCTACTGCAGACCAAGTTGTTTGGGCTGGAGGAGGCTGTGTGTCTGCTCCTGTCTCAGCCTCAATTTCCTCATCAAAGCAACAAGGAGATTGCTATCCCTTTGCCTCAGTGGTAAGAGGGGATGCTGAGTCTTTAGCTCTAGCACATAGGAGGTGCTCAGGGAGAAAGCCTGAAGGTGGGGGTGTGTCCCTCATGGCTCCTGCCCCACCGGCCATGGCATGAATTTCCTGTGGCACCCCACAGGCCACACTGTGTGCCCGGCGTGGCAGCATGGAGGCCATCGTGGCCCAACTGGCTTCTGACAGCGAGGATCTTCACCAGGTACCTGGATGGAGCGGGTGGGGCGTGGGGAGAGCCTTGCCGAGTGTCCCACCGTCCAAGGCCCCTGCCGACAGAGTCCCCTCTCCTGTGGGTGTGATGGGCATCCCCTTCAGTCTCTGTAGCCCCACCACATGCGGGGCTGAGGGCAGGGGGCCTGGGCCCATCTTGCCCACCTTGTGCCCTGACCCAGGTGGTGTCCAGCATCTTGCGCAACCTGTCCTGGCGGGCCGACATCAACAGCAAGAAGGTCCTGAGGGAGGTCGGCAGCATGACCGCCCTGATGCAGTGCGTCCTCCGAGCCTCCAAGGTGGGCACTGAAGGGGCACGACGGAGTAGGGGGGTAGGAATGCACCTGAGACCCAGGGGAGAGGGCACCGCCATGGCTGCTTAATACCAGCCACAGGACAGGGAGATACTGGCAACAGGGAATGAGTTCTCTGTCTTGAGGGGAGTCACACCAAACAACTTACCACTTAGCTTACCAGGTGGTCCTCAGGCAGGCCTGGGCTTTCCATCCCTTCCACCCAGAGATCCCGTGAAGACCGTTTTATTACTTCTCGCTTTTATTTGAAAATGTATTTGGGTGCCTTTCCTTCCAGCCTTTTGGCTGCGCCTTGATGGGGAGGGCCAAGTGGGTGGGGCCAGTGCCTGGGGCGTCCCTCCACTGGCCTTCACCTGTCCCACCCCTGTGCCCAGGAGTCCACCCTGAAGAGCGTGCTCAGTGCCCTGTGGAACCTCTCGGCGCACAGCACGGAGAACAAGGCAGCCATCTGCCAAGTGGACGGCGCCCTGGGCTTCCTAGTGAGCACGCTGACCTACAAGTGCCAGAGCAACTCGCTGGCCATCATCGAGAGCGGCGGAGGCATCCTGCGCAACGTGTCCAGCCTCATCGCCACCCGAGAGGACTACAGGTGGGTCCACCCCGGCCCACATCCTGGAGGCCAGAGGGCACCACAGAGGGTGCTGGGGAAGGTGGACCCCAGGTGTGGTCTGGGGCTGGGGTGGCAGATCCCATTCTGTAGTGAACTGTCACTGAGGCTGCAGCATTGGTTTGTCCTCCGGCAAATGGATGTTCCAGCTTGTCCCAGGGACTGATTTTTGTAATATAAGTATCTCCAAATATTACATGAGCTATACTTTGCTAAATATTTTATTTGTTAATAAAATAGTCATTAACTTAATAATTTACAAATACTTAGGATTTTAAAAAAACAAATAAAATGTATAGTATGTTTATCCCAAATATGAATGAGATATGCTAAGATAAGATACACTAAATTTTATTTTAAAAGATAAATATTTTTAACTTACTATTACAATTATTTAATAAATATGTTATTTCTCTTAAGTAAAAAAAAATTAACACAAGTATATCCCATTCGATATTTGGGGTAGACTTATACTACCTATCTATTCTCTTCCCTGAGAGTCTAACTCAGCCGATGCCTTGTATTTTTATTTGCTAAATCTGGCCACCCTGCTCCTGGTAAGACGAGGGTTGGCCCCGCCTGACATGCCACTCTGTGCTGCAGGCAGGTGTTGCGGGACCACAACTGCCTGCAGACTCTGCTGCAGCACCTGACATCACACAGCCTGACCATTGTGAGCAACGCCTGTGGCACCCTCTGGAACCTGTCCGCCCGCAGCCCACGGGACCAGGAGCTGCTGTGGGACCTGGGCGCCGTGGCCATGCTGCGCAACCTGGTGCACTCCAAACACAAGATGATTGCCATGGGCAGTGCCGCTGCCCTGCGCAACCTGCTGGCTCACCGGCCTGCCAAGTACCAGGCAGCAGCCACGGCCATCTCCCCCAGTGCCTGTGTGCCCAGCCTGTACGTGCGCAAGCAGCGGGCCCTGGAGGCCGAGCTGGACGCGCGGCACCTGGCCCAGACGCTGGACCACCTGGAGAAGCAGGACCTGCCCGAGGCCGAGGCCGCCTCCAAGAAGCCGCTGCCGCCCCTGCGGCACCTGGACGGGCTGGCCCAGGATTATGCCTCAGACTCGGGCTGCTTCGACGATGATGATGTGCCCTCCCTGGCCGCGGTGGCCGCCACCGCCGAGCCTGCCGGTCCTACTGTGCTGTCCCTCTTTCTGGGCAGCAACTTCCCGCAGGGCCAGGCACTGGCCCGGGCCCCACCTGCCCATCGCGGTGGCCCAGAGGTGGAGAAGGAGGCCGGTGGGGAGGCAGCCTTGGCAGCCAGGGCCAAGGCCAAGCTGGCACTGGCAGTGGCTCGGATCGACCGGCTGGTGGAGGACATCTCGGCCCTGCACACATCATCTGATGACAGCTTCAGCCTCAGCTCTGGGGACCCGGGGCAGGAGGCACTGCGGGAGGGCCGAGCCCAGTCCTGCTCTCCTTGCCGGGGGCCTAAGGGTAGGCAGCGGGAGGCCAGTGGCCGAGGTCACCCCTTGTTGCGGCTCAAGGTAGCCCATGCCAGCCTCTCCAATGACAGCCTTAACAGTGGTAGCACGAGTGATGGGCACTGTCCCCGTGACCCCATAAGGCCCTGCCCGCTGACCTCATTGGCCAAGCGCCGAGAAGGGCTCCCCTGTGGCCAGGCACGGCCCAACCAACTTGATCTCAACCTGCTGGGTGGCCAGGCTAAGCCGGCAGCCCGGGAAGCTGCAGCCACCAACGCCTGTGTGCGCACCATCAAGCTGTCACCTACCTATCAGCACGTGCCACTGCTCAAGGACACTGCCAGGGCTGGTGCGGGGCTCCCGGTCCCTGGCACCCGGAAGCATGCCTGGCTGTCTGCAGAGGGCCTGAACAAGGTTCCTGAGAAGCTGGTGGCGGAGGCGGCACCACTCTGCCTGTCCCATTGTAGCTCCCTGTCCTCACTGTCCTCGGCTGGCCACCCGGGACCCAGCGAGGCAGGGGACCTGGATGACAGTGACTCGTCCCTGGAGGGGCTGGAGGAGGCTGGCCCCAGCGAGGCGGAGCTGGACGGGGCCTGGCATGGGCCAGGGGCTGCCTCCCTGCCCATGACCATCCCTGTGCCCCCTCGGGGCCGGAGCCTGGGCGTGGAGGACACCACACCATCCAGCTCCTCAGAGAACTGTGTGCAGGAGACACCACTGGTGCTCAGCCGCTGCAGCTCGGTGAGCTCACTGGGCAGCTTTGAGAGCCCATCCATTGCCAGCTCCATCCCCAGTGACCCCTGCAGTGGGCTGGGCAGTGGCACAGTCAGCCCCAGCGAGCTGCCCGACAGCCCTGGGCAGACCATGCCACCGAGCCGCAGCAAGACGCCACCCCTGGCGCCCCCACCTCCTGGTGAGCATGAAACCACCCATTTCAGCCTGCAGTGGGAAAGCTACGTGAAGCGCTTCTTGGACATCGCCGACTGCCGAGAGCGCTGCTGGCTGCCCTCCGAGCTGGACGCCGGCAGTGTGCGCTTCACCGTGGAGAAGCCAGATGAGAACTTCTCCTGTGCCTCCAGCCTGAGCGCACTGGCCCTGCACGAGCACTATGTGCAGAAGGATGTCGAACTGCGGCTGCTGCCTCCAGCCTGCCCTGAACTTGGCGGGGGTGGTGGCCCTGGCCAGCACTTAGCTGGGCACTGCTGTCGAGATGAGGCCAGTGGTCGCCTTGAAGGACCGCCTGCCACCAACCAGGAGCTGGAGCTGCTGCGGGACTGCCTGGGCGCAGCCGTGCCCACCCGGCTCCGCAAGGTGGCCTCGGCACTGGTGCCCAGCCGCTGCGCACTTCCCATGCCCGTCTACATGCTGGTGCCCACCCCGGCCCGGGAGGGCAGCTCATGCACTGACTTGGCCGAGGGCACGCAGGTCAATTTTGGTGTGGCCTCACTCGGCGATGAGACACTGCAGGCATCTCCCAGGGACCCACCTGGTGGGTGTGGGGACAGGCAGAAGCCAGCAGGCCCAGAGGGTCCTGCCAGGCAGGCCACTGGGCGCCGGCACAGGGCTGGGGGTGCAGGCCGCAGAACGGAGCCAGTCCGAGGGCTGGTCAGGAACAGGGCAGGGCTGGAGCTGCCCCTCCGAAAGCCCCCGAGAGCTTGTGCAGAGAAGAAAAGCCCCCAATTGGGCCGAGCTCATGGGGAGGGGGCACTGCAGTCCCTATGCCTCACCACGCCTACTGAGGAGGCTGTGTACTGCTTCTACAGCAACGGCTCAGACGAGGAGCCGTCCACAGCGGCGGGGGTGACACCCTCCCGGTGGGCATCTGCTACGCCCCAGACAGCGAAGAGGGAGCGCCTGGCTGGCAAGAAGAAGGCACAGACTGTACTCAAGGCCACAATGCCCACCCGGGCCCAGCCTAGCCTCATTGCTGACGAGACGCCACCATGTTACTCCCTGAGCTCCTCCACCAGCTCCCTCAGCGAGCCTGAGCCTGAGCCTGAGCCTGAGGCTGGCAGGCCCCGTGCCCATGAACCAGTGGTCACCAAGGACCGGAGCCCTGGCGGTGGGAATGATGGCCGTCCCAGTTCTCAGGCCAAAGCGGAGATGCTGAGGCGCTGCGTTGGCTCAGCCATGCCCAGGCGCCGCCCACAGGTGTCAGATCCAAGGCGTCGCAAGCCCCGCGATGCCCGGCTGGACAAGCGATCGGAGGGGCCGCGGGAGCGTGGCGAGGAGGCAGCAGGGTCCGACCACGCCTCGGATCTGGACAGCGTCGAGTGGCGCGCCATCCAGGAGGGCGCCAACTCCATCGTCACCTGGCTGCACCAGGCCGCAGCAGCCGCCACTCAGGAGGCCTCGTCTGAGTCTGACTCTCTCTTGTCCTTCACGTCAGGGCTGTCCGTGGGCTCCACTCTACAGCCCTCTCTACACAGGAAAGGGCGGCCGCCACGAGCAAAGGGACAAGCGAGCAGTGCCCCCCGGCCAGAGAAACGGGATGCGACCCTGGCCCAGCACAGCAGCAGCTCCTGCGTGCCCATTGGCCCAGAGAAGCTGCGCGGTGCCCCAAAGGCCGCACCCGGGATGCCAGCTATGCTTCGAGGAAGAACAGTGATCTACATGCCCAGCTCAGCCACCCGATCTCAGCCCAAAGGCACCTCTGGCCCCCACACCACACCCAGGAAGATGGGACCCCTGAGCCCCACACAGCCAGCAGCTCCCACCAAAGCCCTGGGCCCTGGGCAGCAGCGGTCTCGAAGCCTGCACAGGCCTGGCAAGATCTCAGAGCTTGCAGCCCTGAGCCCCCTCCAGAGGAGTGCCACGCCACCGGCCCGCCTCACGAAGACCCCCTCATCCAGCTCCTCCCAGACCTCCCCTGCCTCCCAGCCCCTGCCCAGGAGGCCGCTCCCGGCTGCCCATGTTTCGGGGCCCCTGCCCGGCCCCGGGGCCTCACTGGTGTCCAAGACACCCACGCGGGCCCTGCTGGCCAAGCAGCACAAGACACAGAAGTCACCTGTGCGGATCCCCTTCATGCAGAAGCCCACCAAGCGGGTGCCACCATCCCCGGCCAGGGCAGCCCCAGAGCCAGGCTCCAGGGGTCGGGTGGTATCCAAGGGGTGCCCGAGTGCCCGAGGGGGCCGCCTGGGCCTGGTGCGCATGGCCTCGGCCCAGTCCAGTGGCAGCGAGTCCTCCAACCGCTCAGGTTTCCAGCGGCAGCTGACCTTCATCAAGGAATCACCAGGCCTGCTGCACCGACGTCGTTTGGAGCTGTCCACAGCCAAAGCCGCCCCCTCCGCCTCCCAGGGTGGCTCACCCCGCCGTGGCGGGCCTGCGCTGCCCACCGTCTTTCTCTGTTCCTCCCGCTGCAAGGAACTGCGGGCACCCTCCCCACAGGCCCAGATCCCCCAGCAGCCCCCCACAGCGCGGCCAGGCCCTGGTAAGCGGCCACCAAGGCGCACCAGCTCAGAGAGCCCGTCGCGTCTGCCCATCCGCAAGCAGGCCACCCAGCCTGAGGCCGTCAAGCGCTATGCCTCTCTGCCCCACATCAGCACGGCCCCAAAGCCGGAGGGCGCTGCCCCTAGTCCCGCCTCGGACCCCGCACGCCGCAGCAGCGACGGAGAGGCCCGGCCCCTACCCAGGGTGGCCTCGCCGTGCACCACTTGGCGTCGCATCCGGGATGAGGACGTGCCACACATCCTGCGGAGCACACTGCCCTCTACCGCCCTGCCGCTCATGGGCACCTCGTCAGAGGAGTGCCCAGGCAGTCCCCTGCAGCGCAAGACCAGTGATGCTGTGGTCCAGACAGAGGATTTTGCTGCCACCAAGACCAACTCCAGCACATCCCCAAGCTTGGAGAGCAGGGGGCCTCCCCAGGCCCTGGCCAGCGGACCGACATCCCTTCTCGGCAGCGACGTGGATAAGCCTGGTCCCGCCAAGGCACCCACCTCGGCCCCCTTCACCCATGAGAGCCTAGGAGTGGCTGGGGGGGGCTTTGCTGCCAGCCGGCATGGCTCCCCCAGCCGCTCGGCCCGAGTGCCCCCCTTCAACTATGTGCCCAGCCCCATGGTAGCGGCCACCACCACTGACTCAGCTGTGGAGAAAGCCCCCGTGCCCGCTGACCTCCTAGAATAGTTGCCTGGACTGGTTTTCTGGAACATCCTCTCTGGCCAAGAGCTTTCTGGTTGTCCTGAGGGTGGTCCCGGGAACTGCCTACTCACCTGAGTCCCCGCCCTCAGAGCCCTACCCCAGCCCCTGTCGGCCTCACATCTCATGCTTGCTTTTGTGCTGTGGGGGCTAGAGAAAGAGTTGGGCTGCGTGCTGGACCTCAAGTCCCAGCCTTGCCCACATGCAGAGACCACCTTCTGGACCCCCAGCCCAATTGCGCTTAAGCCTCAGCGGGACACTCATCTCTGGGGAACCCAGGGAGATTACAGCATCCACCTGAGGTGGGGGATGAGGCTTCAGGGTGGTGCCATCTAGCTCAGGCCCGAGGCATCCTTCGGAGGACAATGCTCATTATTTCAGGGGCAGCTGGGTAATTTTCAATGATAACTGCTGAACTGAGAGAGGGACATAGCTGAGCCTGACAATGAGACAAGCCCCTCCATTTTAGGTGCCAAGCCAGAGGCTAATGGATAGAACACTGTCAGAACAGCCTGGAAGGAGCAAGGAGAGAAGGGCAAAGGAAGATAGCTGGGTGATGCGGGACACCCTATATCCCCACTCCTGGCTGGGGTGGGTGCTGATTTTGGCCAAAGGAGGAAAAGGGGGACTAGAGAGGTAGGTGGAGGGAGCCAGGAACAGCTGGCAGGTGAGGTGCAGTGGGAAGGAGGATGAGAGTCAGCCAAATACGGTTCACCTTGGTGACACACAAAGCCCAGGACCTATAGGGCGGCACAACGGCAGGGACTGGGGTGGGGCTGACGCCTGGCCTAGAGCCCCAGTCCTGTGGCCAGACTAGCTGGATGTGTAGAGGCTATGGCTGCTGGGGTGCTCAAGTGCTGGTGTCAGAGAGGCAGAGATGGAGGAGCACAAGGAGCCTGGTGGGCCTCTGTGGCTCCTGCCAGTGTGTGGTATGCGGGGGAAACTGCTCAGGTCCCTCTTGGCTTCCTGCAGATACAGCCAATGACCTCATTCCTGGGGAAGCCTGGCTTTGAGAAGTAGCTGCTCTTGGGCTCATAGACCTGCCACAGTGCGGATGGGAGCTGCCCCAGAGGGGCTGGGGAGCAGATGCTGTTTGAGGAGATGGGCAACATGATGACTAGATTTTAGGTCCCTTCTCTGGGAGGTTGGGTGGAAGTGCAGAAGGAGCTCCCGTCTTTGCCCATGGACACCACTGTCCCCCCCCATCCCCTGTCCATGGAAAGAGCTGAGACAAGAGCAGAAGTGTTTACTGGACCATCCTCAGTTCCCCCAGTGGGGCTCTTGGGGGGCCACCCTGATTCAACCCTCACAGACACATAGACATCGTGTTACTTCTGCTAACATGTCTGTGTCATGTTGCATCATAAGCCCTTGGAACACCCTGTCCACCAGGACAATTGCCAGGGCAATTGCCAGGGTGACCTCCCAGCCCAGCTCAGAAGGCCACAGGCAGGATGCTGGAATGGCTGGATGCACCAAGTATCCCTTTTATGACCAAACTTCTAGGATGAGCTGGCACACAGAGGACCATGGCAATGAGAGCTGGGCAGTGCATTGCATGAGCCCATAACTAACTCTAGGACACACTGGAGCAGTGGAGGGGGAGTACAGGAGGGATATTTCAGATGCATCTCAGAAACCAGGATTCCTCATCTCCATCCTTAACCTGAACTGGCAGGACTGGGTGGCCTCAACTCCTTTTTAAGCAGGCTCTCACACTCACCATGGGCCAGCCACCTCCCAAACGGCCTGCTGGGAGAAGTTGTGCAGAGACAGACACAGCTTGCTCAGCCATAGGGAGTCTGAAGTGATGGGTACTGGGGGTGGGAGCACCCAAGCACTGTGAGACCCTGGTGGTGCTCTCAACATTCTGTCTGTTTTCCCACATGGGCCAGGGGAACTCCCAGAGCTACCTCTAGAGCCAGAGTGGCTGTTGTGACTTGGTGAGAGGCCCAGCCCTCCACCTGCCCCTTGTCTCCAGAGGGGGCCAGCTTTCACCTCGGCAAGCACACCAGGAGTCACACCCCATCTATGTCCAGCGCCACATTTGCCTTTTCTGTTCCCATGACAGAGCATAGCTACACCTCACGACTGCGCAAGGCAGGACAGTGGGAGTCCTGGGCCCTGAGAAGAGTGGTGGTCCCTGGACAATGGATTCTAGGCCTGAGCTGGAGGACTCAAGTCTTAGGACCCAAAGGATATCTCCCATGAAGCCTTGATCCCCTCAGGGCTGCTCGGCCACCTGACAATGCCGAGGGGACCCTGTTTGCCTCCAGAGCACCCTCAGTCCAAGACCTTGAGCAGCCACCACCAGCGGGATACTGAATTGGGGATAACATGCCTGCAGGTACAGCATTACCTCACTCCCTCTGCCCCAGTCCGTCACCTGGCCAGCGGCCATAGCGCCCCAGCCAGAGCCTAGTTGTTTTGGTCCATCTATCTCTGTGACCCTCCAGTCTATGCCCTGGGCCCCTGCAGTGTTACAAGATGTGTAAATACATATATAACCCGGTTTCCCCTCTCCCACCCCAGTCAACCTAAAGCCGTCGTCTGGTGGAAGGAAGGCACAGAACCAGGCATCTTATGTGCACCTTTAATAAATGGAGCTGTTGAATCTTGCTCTGCACAGTTATTTTCAAGTGGGTGAGGACTGGGTGAGTGGGGCTGGAGTACTTTGTGGGTTTTCCATCCAGACTGCCCGCTCTGGGTCCATGTGCTAGAGGCAGATCAGGCTTTGGCATTTGTGCAAGAAGAGCACTAAGGACAGGCGGATGCAAAGGAGAAGGTAGCTGGAGTGTCTCACCATGATCCTGGCATGCGGGGGTAGGAGGGTGGGGTGTGGAGGTGGTGGTGGTGGTAGCCTCTGGAGCCCTTAGACTCACTCAAGTGACCCAACCTGAAGGCCAGGGCCATGCAGGGAGGGGTGACCTCCCAGCCCAGGGCAGCAGGACACTTTGAGACATTAGCAGGTAGGCCAGGGGGTGGCGGGCAGTGTAGCCTCAGTGTCCACTGCCCTAACTGGAGCCATGCCAGCATGTTCTGAATGCCTGTGCCCCCAAGGATTTCAGGGGTCTTTCAGGTTTAAGCAGGCACTCTCCTTCTTCCAGAAGAGATGCTGGGTCACCCGTGTCAAGAACTTGCCTTGTGTATCCAAGTGCTTCCCTAAGCTCATGGGGAAACCTGGAGAAGAGTGGCTCACAGAGGTACTGTCCGGAAGGCTGTGGCAGTGGGGATTTCCTCTGCGGGGCTGTTGGGGACACCCATGACGGCCTGGAATACCGCCTTTCTCTTCATATTGCCCACGGCCAGGATGGAGATGGTTGGATGAGGGCTCCAGCAAGTAACGGACCAGCTTGTCCTATTTTGGGAGCCCAGGCCAGCATCCCATCTAATAGATCCCACAGCCAACAGGTTAGTCCTGCACCCTGACCGTGAACCGGTGGCACAAGTGCTACCCCAGGGGAAAGCCCTTGCCTTAGACTGAGGTGCTCAATGCCACTGGTGGCCCCATCTCAGAGCTGGGCCCTACTGGGCAATCTCTCTGCATGGCCACAGCCACCTCATTGTTTTCTGGACCCTCTGGGGGCCCCACAGTTCATATAGAGACAGGCTCCATTTAATGGGTGACCAGTGAAGCAGGGTTACCAAAAGAGAAGGGAGGATAGGTTCTGAGACTCCAAACCAAGTCGAGGCTGAAGGCAATCAGGCTCCAGAAGAGAAGCAGCCTGGGGGTGAGTGGCATCCACCAAGCCTGTCCTGACCTTCGGTAACGGGCCTGTGCCCTGCGGAGGCAGGTGTGCCCCTCACCACTGTTCCTGCTGCGACCGCACACCAGGCAGGCTCTGTCCCCTGGGGTCTCCGGATACCGAGGCAGGCTTAGCCATGGATCAGAGAGCCCGGAATCTGTTTCTGGGACCCAGGAGCCCATGACTGAGATGTGACAGGAAGCCACGGGGTGCACTCTCCAGGGACTGCATGCTCAGGCAAGGCCAAGGGTCAGGTCAGCCTGAGAAGGTGGTCGAGGCCCCTGACAGCGCCACCTGCTTCACCTGGACGACGTCCTGCTCCAGCTCCTGGCCCGCTTGCCAAAGGTCCTCACACCGTTGTCTCAGCTCATCACCGGCCTGTCTCAGCCGCTGGTTGGTGGCCACATAGGCCCGGCTCTGCTGGTAGAGCTGCTCCCGTTGGGCCTCAGGGTCCTCAGCCTTCCAGGAGGAGTCTGGGGACAGAACACGGACCGTGCTCAGAGAGGGGCTGAGAGAAGCCTCCATTTCCCACCCCTCTGGCAAGTTTACCACCCCTTCTGGTCATGGAAGAGGCCCTGCCTGGGGGTGGGTACCACTCCTGTAAAAGGCACTGACCCCACAATGGAACTGCTGAGCAGGCTAGCCCTCATTCCTGTTATTTATTTATTTAAATATATTTTATTGATTTTGTACAGAGAGGAAGGGAGAGAGATAGAGAGTTAGAAACATCGATGAGAGAGAGTCATTGATCAGCTGCCTCTTGCACACCCCCCACTGGGGATATGCCGGCAACCAAGGTATATGCCCCTGACCGGAATCGAACCTGGGACCCTTCAGTCCCCAAGCCGACGCTCTATCCATTGAGCCAAACCGGTCTTGGCCATTCCTGTTCTTAAAGCCTCAGGTGCAACCTTCTGCTCCTGAAAAACTATCCCATGGCCCTATAATCTTGAAAAATCCGACACAGTCAGGAGGCTGCAAAGACAGGAGGGTATGGACACAAGTGTGCAGGTGATTTCACTTCCTAACAGTGTGTCCCACCGAAGGAGGTGGGGTGGAGTGGGGTTGAGGGAGCAGGGCAGAAAAAGCAGAGCTTCAGGGTCACCCAGAGACATATCCAGGTCCTCTCCGCTCTGCCTGGGCCCGTTTGCATGGGAACAATGCCACCTGCTATGCTTGGCGGCTGTCTGCTGTCACACCGTTGCAGGCCAAATGTCTAGCACAGACCCTGCAAACTCTGGTGTTTATTAATCACTTTTTCTCCAACTGCTTTAGTAATAAGGCGGGAAACGCCAGACAGCACAGATAAAGATTAAGTGTGGTCCTAGATAAAAAAATAAAAATAAAAAAAATACGGTTCTCCCTAGGCAGTTTGGCTCAGTGGATAGAGCGTCGGCCTGTGACTGAAGGGTCCCAGGTTCAATTCGGGTCAAGGGCATGTGACTTGGTTGTGGGCTTATCCCCAGTGGAGGGTGTGCAAGAGGCAGTTGACTGATGTTTCTCTCTCATCGATGTTTCTAGCTCTCTCTCCTTCTCCCTTCCTCTCTGTAAAAAATCAATAGAATATATTTTTAAAAAAACCTACACACACAACAAAAAAACCCATGGTCCTGCAAGGGAAGCACCTCTCCCTTGAGCAGCCCCAGCACTGCTTGTGCCTTAGTTTCCCCACCTTCGGACCTCTCCATTATTCTTTTTCTTTTTTTAATTTACCTTTACTGTTGAAAATATTACAGATGTTTCCTTTTATGCCAATAATTCTTAAGCTGGGGCTCCAGAGACCTCAGATGACCCAGGCTGGAGATAAATCTGGCTTATGTTCCTAGGACTGCCCATTCAACAGAACATTCCTGGTGATGGAAAAGTCCTCCATCGGAGCTGCACAATATAGCAGAGCCACAAATGCCTCGTGGGCACTTGAAATGTGGTTACATGGAACAATGAACTGAAATTTTTTTACTATTATTAAATTTTTATTTTTTATTTTTTTAAATATATTTTATTGATTTTTACAGAGAGGAAGAGAGAGGGATAGAGAGTGAGAAACATCGATGAGAGAGAATCATCGATCAGCTGCCTCTTGCACACCCCTTACTGGGGATGTGCCCGCAACCAAGGTACATGCCCTTGACCCGGGACCTTTCAGTCTGCAGGCTGACACATATCCACTGAGCCAAACCGGTTTCGGCTATTATTAAATTTTTAAAAATGTTTCCTATAGCGTTTCTCACTTCATATTGCCCACAAGACACCTGTTTACTGTCTTGGTCCTAATGGCCTGAGGGAAGGCACTGTCCTCTTTTGTTCACCTGTTCACCCCAAAGCTTAGAACAGAACCTGGCACATAAGTTCTTATTTTTGTTTTTTTGTTAATCCTCACTCGATATTTTTTATTTTTATTTATTTATTTATTTATTTATTTATTTATTTATTTATTTTTGTTGTTGTTGTAGAGTCTCTAATTTATTTTGAAAGGATAAAGTTTGTTATTTCCACTCATAACCCCACCCTGGCACATAAGTTCTTATTTTTGTTTTTTTGTTAATCCTCACTCGATATTTTTTATTTTTATTTATTTTTATTTATTTTTATTTATTTATTTATTTATTTATTTATTTATTTATTTATTTATTTTTGTTGTTGTTGTAGAGTCTCTAATTTATTTTGAAAGGATAAAGTTTGTTATTTCCACTCATAACCCCACCCCAAAGGCATACCAGTAACAAGTGTTCCTTCACAGTGCCAAGAGATACTGCCTTCCCCGAGGCCACCAGCTCTTTGCACCACCTATGTATCTTGTATTTAAAGACAGTCCCTGGCTTTCGGTGGTTCAACTTAACAATTTTTCAATTTTACAAAGGTGCAAAAGTGATAGGTACTCAGTAGAAGCTGGCTGGGTAAGCTATTTAGTAGGTTAGGTGCAGTTAATACTTGTTTTTAAACCTTTCCGATGATATTTTTTAAAAAGAAATTTAGCTCCTGATATTTCTCTCTCTCTCCCTCTCCCTTCCTCTCTGAAATCAATAGAAATATATTTTCTTAAAATGAAAATAAATTCCACGGTTTCAACGGACCTCCTACACCCACCCACTGCGCATCTCGTTGCTGGGGCCTTGGGGCGGTCTCTCCCCTGCAGGCCTGCGGGTCCTGGGCTCCCCCTACCTTCCGGGGCCAGGGCGGTGAAGACTGGGTCCTCGGCGGGCGCCCCCCGCACATCCTCCAGGATCTGCTCCGTCGTGGGGGGCGCCGGGCGAGTGGGCAGCACCACGCGCTTCTTGGCCTTCGAGCCCATCCCTGCAGGGGGAGAACCGAGCGTCACCGGGGCGCCCAACTCGCAGCTTGTGCCTAGGCGGTTCCAACCGTCCAGCGAATCCCCACGCACTCGTCCTGCCTCGCCCCTCCTCTCCTGGATCGCCTCGCCCCTTCAGTGTCCAACTCCACCGCTGCCTCAGTTTCCCTGCTGAAACAGTACCTGCCTCTGCTCACCTAGGCACGCAACCGGAGCTGCCAGCGGCTCAGAGCGGACAGCTCTGCTTCCGGTCGGAGTGTGGCCCCGCCCTCCAAGTCCTGAAGCGAACTTCCGGCCTTCTCCTCCGGCCCTCCCCTCCCCCCGCCCGTTCGTCATGAGGTCACGCCCCCTCTTAAAGAGGCCGCGCCCGCGAGCGACCTGGCGTGATCTAAAAGGAGCTGTAGCTGGACCAAAATCAGAAAACACGCGACCTCAGCCTCTCCGGACTGGAAACTCAAGGGGTGGATGTAGGGTCCAATCCCGGCTTCCCTCCTTGCATAACAAAGCGTGAGGTCGTTTTCTGCAAAAGGGGGACACAACCCCCAACCCGCGTGGCTGTCCTGGGAACAAAGCTCCTATCCACACAAGGAAACCCTGCGCACGGAGGCGTTCAGTGAATGCTAGCTGTGCCAATTACCAGCGAGGTGGCCAGGGACGCAGGACATACGCCAGCAATGGATCTGGCCGGCTGGATCTGGGTCCAGGTCCCCACTCTGATCTCTAAAACCCCTTCCTCACCCTGTGGGTGGTGCTGGACTGGCTAAAATAGACAGGCTCAGAGCATAGGGCGATTTTTGTGTGTATTTTTTTTTAACAGCTTTATTGAATGTAAATTACATAGCAATAAAGTCCACTTGTTTAAAGTATACAATTCTGTGGTTTGTGAATATGTGTGTGTGTGTGTGTGTTCATGCAACCATGACAAGTCTAATTCTAGAACATTTGTATCATCCCCAAAAGAAGCCTATTAGCAGTCATTCCCCTCAACCCCCCACTAATCTATTTCCTGTCTCTGGATTTGCCTATTCTGGATATCCTATATAATAAAAGACTAATATGCAAGTCAACCTAATGGCCAAATGACATGTATAGCCACCCAGGGACAGATGCTCCCACAGGGGAGCACCGCTCAGCCAGAAGCCCATGAGCGGATGGCAGTGACAGGAGCCTCTCCTGCCTTTATGACATCCACTGAGGCACAGGCCGGGTGGAGGGACTCCCTCCCCTCCCCCAGTGCACGAATGTCATGCACCGGGCCTCTAGTTTCACATAAAAGGAATCACAGACTATGTGGCTTTGGGTGTCTGGCTTCTCTTACTGTTGAGCATCATGGTTCCAAAGTCCATCCATGTTGTAGTGAGTGTCAGTGCTTCACTCATTTTCAGGGTTGAGTAATATTTCAGGCTGTGAAGAGACCCTGGTCATCTGCTGATGGACACTTGGGTTGTTTCCATCTTTTGGCCATTGTGACCCCTCCTGCTGTGAACACGCTTACACAGGTTTTTGTATGGACTTCTGCTTTCAGTTTTCCTGCCTATATACCTGCAAGCGGAATTGCTGGTTCATTTAGTAACCAGGTTTAATGTCTGTGGAACTGCCCAATGGCTGCCCCAAGTTGGTGCATTTTGGGTGCTTACTGTGTGCCAGGCAGGAAGACTGCCTCTTGTTGATCCTTGTATTTGGTGAGAAAGGTACTATTGGTGCCTCTCACTACCCAGCTGCAAAGCCCTCAACAGAGCCTTCTTCCCTTCAAGACTTAAAGTTGGGCAACCTGAGTCCAGTGCAGAGCAAATTCCCAGGTTCCCAGTGCCACAAAAGGGGGTGGTTTCTAGGGCCACTGAGCTCCCGTAAGAGGTGAGGCCTGCGCCTTGGAGCCTGAGTGGAGCCCCATAGTAAGGGCAGGCCCCCTCTTCACTTTCTCATGGAAGCCCCTCCTCGCTCTGAAAATTGGGACGTGTCCTCACCCTATTGGTGTGAGGATAGGCATTTAATAGCTTACTCTGTACCCCTTTTCTTCCCCCCACACCTCAAGATTCTCTTTCTATTCCAGAGAGGTGGGAGGCCCACTTTACAAATGGGGAAGTCCAGGCCGTAGGGGGATGAGAGCAATGTATCTTCCAATCCATAATTCCCTTAGCTTCCCGGTGACCTTCAATAAGTGGTGTGTAATTATTGGAAGCTCATAGACCCTCTTCTGCCAGTTGTGTCAACCAGATGGAAGGGGGAATGTGGGCTGGATCCTAGAGGCTTGGCACTTAAAGCACGTGGGTATCACTAGGAACCCCCACCCATTCCCACCCCCATAGCTGGGGTCTCTGAGTCCCAGACTGACCCTCTTTTCTTTGTAGTTGCTGGGTCCCCCAGGGGCTGATGGCCAGGAAAGGTGATCTTCAAACAGGGAACAGGGGACACCCAACCATGGCTGGGGATGGGGGGCCTGGCTGTGCCCAAAGGAGACCAGAGACTTGGCACCTCCTTTTAAGCCTTTATTGCAAACTTTGAGGTCAGACATGGTCCCTGAGACTCTGAATAATGTCACTGGCTCTCCCTCCCCCTCCCCCCAGATTCTGGGGCAGAGAAGGGATGCTGGTCATCATTGTGGCCTGGCTTCTGCCCCATCCCACTCCACTTCCATCCCAAACATACACAGGGAGCAGGGCAGTATCCCCACCAGAGCCTAAGCTAAGATGGGATGTCTCTGGGGTCCAGCCAGCAATTGGTGATGGGAGTGGCTTCCGGCACTGGGTGGAGGGCTACACAGGGTAGCAGGCTGCCTATGAAGAGGATACTACAGAGGAAGGGGTTCTCAAGGGCCACGATCAGTCGGGCTGTGGCCTCTGTGGCAGTGGTGAGTTGTTCCAGTGGGCTGGGGGTGACCTTTGTGGGGGACAGGCCCTGAGCAGGAGCCCCCATGCTCATCCAGTATGTATGGTGGCCAGCAGGTGATGCAGTTGAGCAAGGGACTGCCACAGCAGGTGTAGCAGAAGTGACAGCTGAAGCACACATGCGGGGTGGGTGTGACTGTGACTGGGCACCCAGACCCAGCAGTCATTGCCTTCTGGGTGTGATTGAAGTACTGCAACGGGCCGTGGGAGGGGCAGAGGTGGCCCGGGATGTAGGCAGGATTGTGGCATTCTGCATAGGGCATATGGACATGGAGGTGAGGCTGAGGCGTACAGCCCTGGCCCACCTACCCATCCTGGGCCGCACACGCACACTGCCAGCAAGTGGGCCATGCCTCACTGGGCACTCACCCTGGCACAGCCCCTCTGTGTCCCGCTGCACACACGCGCTGCTGGTCACCTGGGGGCCTGGAGGCCGCACTGTCATGTCCTCAGCTGTCCCATAGAGCAGCAGTGTGTAGCGGTACAGTGTCCCTGGACAGGGGTCATGGTGAGCATGGGGATAAGGGGAAGAAACTATTGGTGGCCTAATCCTGCCATTTTGGACCCCATTGTCCAGTCCTCCCCACCCCACCCTGGAGCTACAGACTCAGATGGTGCCCCGGCCCCCAGCAGCCATTGTGGGATGATAACTAATGTCTATTTTCTACTATGCAAGATCACTGGGAGCCCCCTTGCAGGGGGGTAATTCAGGCAGGCCTTAGAGTTTCCAGCCTGTGCTTGCCTCTCACCCGTGTTGAAATAGTAGCCCTTGTTCTCCAGGCCCAGGGTCCACACGCCCTGCGGGTCCTCATCCCAGAAGTGGGTGGACATAAAGATCCAGTTGTTATAGCCTTGGCTACTGATGTCGAAGGGTCTGGGGCAGACAGGTGGGGGTGGGGTAAAAGGCTAATGACTACAGTCATGAAGGGGCCACTGAGCCACAGCAAATGTCTGGCTGCAATGCCAAGCGCTGCCTGCAGAAGTGACCCTCACGAACTGATCACCCCTGCGCAGGCCACACCTGACTCCAAAGTGCATTCGGCCCTCCGTGTGTGGACCCAGAGGGCAGGTCCCCCGACCCTCACCTGATGGCCACAAGTGTGGAGCGGGTGCCCATGGGGCTGGTGAGCGAGATCTCCAGGTCCCCCCGGCGGCTGTAGGACAGTGACAGCTTCACCTGCACATGCTCCAGTGAGCGGATGTAGTTGGCATGGCCAGCACAGGCTGACACTTTCTTTTTCACGTGCATCCGCACCAGGATGGGGCTATGGGTGGCATGGGCATCAGGGCTCCTCCTGCTGGCCTGCTGGGGGGGTGGGCGGCCAGCAGGCAGGGTCTGGGATCAGATCATGGGACCCACCTCTAGGACTTACTGAGGCCTCAGGGCCTGCTTCCCAAGTGTCTGCCTGGGTGTTGATGACAGGAGTGGGAGAGGGCTGGAGATGTGACAGGTGCTAGGGGAGGAATGGGGAGTTGGCAGGTAATGCACAGTGGCTGGGACCGAGGAGAGCGCTCACGTGGGGTTGTGGAGGACTCGAATGGTGCATTTCTTCTGGGGCTGTGTGGGCAGCCACGCGCGAGCCAAGTCTACCAGCAGCCCAGCATCCAGCAACCCATAGCCATAGTGGTGGCTCACTGTGTGGAGGGGGCCATCACTCACTCTGTGGGCATGGTGTCCCCACCCCCACCTGGCCATACAGTACCTTGGCGCCCCACGCCATTGGTCCTCCAGTCCTCAGCCTGAAGGTGTGCCTGCCTGGATGCACGAACCACCAAGTGCTGCATGTCTCTCCATGTCAAGAACGGGCTGGGGGAGATGAGGGAATAAGCTGAGGCCACAACTGGGGGGCGAGGGTGGTAGTAGGGTCCCCACTGTCACCTACTTGGCCTCCAGAGCCAGAGCGATTATGCCTGCAGCCAGTGGGGCAGAGGCTGAGGTGCCAGTATGCTTGTCGGTGCACTGGTGGTGCAGGTCCGTGGTGACCTGGGGGCAGAGATGGGGATTGGGGGGCCTGGTGCACATGAAAACCCAGCCCTTGTTCACATGGAACCAGGGACTCAAGAAGGCACTGCAGAGCATCACAACAGACAAGGGGCCTGAGCACTGCCCAGGTCCAC